GGAGTACAGAGGGCAGCTCTTTGCCTGTGGCTTGGCCCCAGAGCGGCACCATTGAGTTACAGGACTACGGGCTGCAGTACAGGAAAGGCCTGGAGCTCGCTCTAAAAGACATTACGCTGCATATTAACCCAAAAGAGAAGGTGATTTATCATCTGTTATTTGTAATCACTAACACGTTTTAAAACGTTGGATTGCAAAGTGTTCCTGTATTGACTTTCAGAAATGTTTGTTTATTAGGTTGGAATTGTGGGTAGAACAGGAGCTGGGAAGTCCTCACTTGCACTGGGAATCTTTAGGATCCTCGAGGCTGCAAAGGGAAAGATCTTCATTGACGGAGTGAATATTGCTGACATTGGACTCCATGACCTCAGATCTCGCATCACAATTATTCCTCAGGTGAAGTAGCACAGATGGAAACTAAGTTATGCCTTTTATCATGTAAACTGCCGTAGCCACACATCTTCCTTTAGGGTTAGATAAACTGTTTACAATAATAGTTTCTTCTGTTCCCCTTCACAGGATCCCGTGCTTTTCTCAGGCTCCCTCAGGATGAACCTGGACCCCTTCGACACCTACACAGATGAAGAAATTTGGAGCTCTCTGGAGCTTGCTCACCTCAAGACATTTGTGTCTAATCTGCCTGATAAACTCAACTACGAATGCTCAGAAGGAGGCGAAAACCTCAGGTAAACATTTCTATATCCGTATGATATTTTGCAACGGAGCTGCGGCACCAGATGTTCTTTTTACACGAGTCCCATAGGAGCTACTATGAAGACATCTTGAATATAATTGCGTGTCTCCACGTTTTCTGTGTAGCTTGGGTCAGCGCCAGCTAGTCTGCCTGGCCAGGGCCTTGCTGCGGAAAACCAAGATCCTGGTTTTGGATGAAGCAACGGCTGCTGTGGATCTGGAAACGGACACTCTCATTCAGTCGACAATCCGCACACAGTTTGAGCACTGCACTGTGCTGACCATTGCTCACCGACTTAACACTATCATGGACTACACAAGGTACACCACCTCAGTATTCAGAGTCTGTGAAAACCAATTTATATTAAGGTGTGAATTGTTTCTCTCAAGTGCTGGTAAAATGACGGAGGGAAATATCTGCAGACAGATTAAACACATTGAATGTTTTCGATAGAAAACTTTAGCTATTAGATACACATGTAAATATTGAAGCTACAGCTTCTATTTTAAAAGATTTGCCACAATCATCAAAGTAGTTAGAGGAAGCAATTAATATTTTATAAACAGATTTTGGAGAAAATGTAGGTTTAGTCCCCAGTAAGTTGTTTTATTTTTTATTTTAGCCAATCTGGGTAAAATAATAGCAAACAGGATTTGATTGAAATGTATTTCCTATTGGTTTTAAGGATTAACAGTGTTTGTGATGCTATCTGGCATCAAACATGGGCTAAGTCTGTGTTTGATGTACTGTCAAATCTTAGTGATTTTTGTAAGTGTCTCTGCTATGTACAAACAAAGCCTTATTGCTCTCTACTGAAAGATTAATATCTCAATTATAGTTATACATACTTGAATGAAATTCATTTACAGAGCAGATCAGGAAATGTGATGTTGAGTCTGAAAACATTTAACAGCAGAGGGCGCTATAGGGTAGTGAATTGTGTATTACAAAGTAGATGGGATGAATTTTCACTGCAGTCCTTTCAGTCAGTCAGAGTAATAACCTGAGGATATATTTGCCATTTGAAAATAAATGCCAAAGTGGGACTGGCTTATGAGGGAAAAAATTAAAAGCTGACCTTTAAACTAAAACTTACCCAATGAGTTCAATTTTGACATTATATTTATTAAATTCCCCCCAAGTTTGAAGTCAATCAGAGAAATCAAAGGCCATTTACTGTACAAAGATCAGTGACGGCTCGGCACAGGAGGGTGCATAGCCTTTAAATGAGAAAAATATGAATCTAAATACTAAAAGTGATGTGAAACTTGCTGGTTTTGGCAAACTCCAAACTCTAAGCCTAGAGTTTTCTCAGTGTGGTTGGTATGTTCTACTGGGCAGTGACCCAAGCAACTGGGTTTGTTTAGAGCCTATGTTTATTGGAATAGTGTGGCATGAGAAAGAAAGTACGCCAGCAGATCTGTGTTCAGGAACGAACTTGCGAGGGAAGGCTTGGCTTCCTAACGAAAATACTGGGAGACCTAGTTTATTTGTATTTTAGTGTTTATTGACTGAATGAGCCATATATAAGAAGACAAAGCAAATCATAAGACTTTCTAAAAAATGTGCACATACAAAGACTTCTAGTGGTGGTTGTGATGCTAGTTGAATTCAAGATTGTGTGTATGACCTGCTCAGAAGTTGACTTAACTGTGCAACATCATTTATTGAGTCTGTAAATGTAGACATTCATAATCTAAATCTGCATCTCTGTTTTTGCAGGGTGATTGTCATGGACAGAGGCCACATTTCTGAGATGGACTCTCCAGCCAACCTCATCTCACAGCGGGGACAGTTTTACCGAATGTGCCTGGAGGCTGGACTGGTTTAGGTCTCCTCGTACCATTGAACTGATGGCCTTGACGTACAGATGTGGGACCTATTTTTTGTGCAAACATGAAATCCTGCCCTTCCAAGCTTTGTGGCATCTCCAAACTATTCCAGCAAGGGCATTGTCGATGAATCTCATGAGCAGCTGCTGACATAGTCCCTTTAATATTTGTTTTACCATTTTAAAAACCCTAAGACACCTTGTTCAAATTCAGGAAAAGACTTTTGTTAACCTCAGAGGATGGACAATCAAACCACAGCTCTGGAGGATTGTTGAGTCCTAAAGCTACAACAAAATGTACATAGGGAAGTGAAGGTTTAGAAGCCAAAGGCTTGAAGAGTACCACAATTTTTTTATGATTTTCATTCTCTTTAAGGATGGGAGATGTATTATTTGTGTAGTTTTTGTGTTTTAAAGCACAAGACATTTATTGATGTTGTCTCAGGCGAAGACATTGATGTTTACTCATTCTTTTTAGCCTTCTATACCAAAAAAGAGGCACTTTTGTACTTGCAAACTGTCAGAAGTCTATATTTTTGTCTTTTTCTCTTAGAGATTGGGATGGGGAAATATTCTGATACATAAACCTTTGCAAGGTTTATGCTTGCGAAGCTGAGGGTTATGGGGTTTTCATAGGCTTCAAAATTCAAAACTTGAGGCTGTTTTCATTTTATATGTCAGGGAGACGGGGGGGGGGGAAGACAGTGAAGTAAGCCAAGACATTAGCTGTGGTCCAACTATGTTGCGGCTGGTAGTTTATTTCTGTCAATGTAAACACATAAAAAAGGCAACAGACCTTGTTGTCAGACTTAACCTGAAACCGGTAGTGAAAACCACCATGAATGAAGAGAATGCCTCTTTAAAACAATGGTGACACATCTCTACGGGATAGTCACTGCCTACGCCACACAAACTCAGGCCATACCATACACAGAGAACGACAAAAAAACAGTATTTTTCTCAAGGTGCTGACATGACGGACTGTAAATTGTCCACACAAGTGTTGATTCAAGGAAAGAACCCTATGAACTTTGAAAAGAGAAGAAGCCTTTACTGTTTTTGTCTTACTGGTTTAGACAATGTGTTTTAAGAGAAGCCCAACTGTTTATTTATGTTGTTCGTCGAAATGTTTTAGTTGTCCTTAAAATTCTGAGGAATATATTATATTTATACTTTTTATAAGAAGCTTGTTTATTTTCACTGATCTTTAATGTACTGTTGTGTTCTATATAATGCTGGATAATAAAGTTTATTTGAATATGTTGTGATGTCTGACTCAGTTTTTTTTTTAATCCGTCCAACCAACTTGCAGAGCTTCACAAATCTATTTATTCTCATTGAGTTTTATTCAAGGAGAATATAAAAAAAACGTATGTTTCAGATGTAAACGGGTCAAGGTTCACCGTGGAAACATTGTCATGTTTCAACAGAGAACCTTCGTGTGTTTACATTATATAGACTTCATGTGCTTGTTTAGGTCATTCTAACACAAGAATATGGCTTTGAACAAAACCATTCTGTGAAGGTTTAAGATTATTATTCTGATGGATGCTCAAGACTGACCTGCTTCACCCGACATGATGCTCAAAGTTAGTTACCATATCTATATTCCACAGAAATAATAAAAAAATAGCACCAAAAGTAAATTTGGAAATCCAAAAGACCACAAAGTAGCAGACCTACTTTCAATGCCAAAATGTTTCACATAAAATCACCAAAAAGGCTCAGAAAATAAAAACAATAACTGACCACATTTATTGCTCAAAAATTCCTAAAGTCCCACAAAAAAGAATAACACACAAAAATAAGACAAATAGGTATTGGCAAAAAAATGCCTTCAAAGACAGTTTGAGCCTCTCTTCAAAGGTCTGACAATGCACGCACACACACACACACACACACACACACACACACACACACACACACACACACACACACACGATGAATTATGATGAATGACAATAAAGACGGGTAAAAAGCACCGAGTAAAGGTTAATAAAGTGAATCCGCAGGAAAAAGAACAAAGAAACAATGTCTTCATAATTGTTGTAACATGTTTTTCAGTCACAGTTTGAAAGACATTTAAATTCCAAGAAACCCTCTCAAAAGTATGTCCAAAAACTGATGGAGGAGTGTATATATATATATATATATATATATATATATATATATATATATATATATATATATATATATATATATATATATATATATATATATATATATATATATATATATATATATATATGTTTTTAATGTTGCCAACAATTGTGGAACATCCCTCTTACAAACCAGGTGAGCTTGAAAAGAATAAACAAACTCAAAATATATATTCTTAGAACTTTTATTTTTTGTTTATTTTGTGTCCTATATCCAGTTACGTAAGGCAAATAATTACCTCACATAGCTGCATCGGGTTCATTGTTTTGTAGTCATTCGAGTCACTGTTGTAGATATAAAACTTGGCCGCTAGGTGGCAGATGTTTGCACAGCCAACCGTTGTTCCAGGGTTTGTTTACGCTCGTTACAATGGCGACCATCTCTGAGTTGAAGGATGGTAGGTGCTGTCTTTTAGTCAACTTCCCTATTTATTTTAGACCTAAAATTATGAATGAAACCTAGTTGTGTCGTGAACTCAGCATGACTCGTCCTAGGACTGGTTTAGCCAGCGTCGGAACCAACCGGAAGCTCTGTTTTACCCATCGATTCGTGGACATTTCAGCCTCGAGTTCACAGTTACTGAAAGGCCTTGGTGAACGATAGTCTCTTCTGTATTGTATTTATATTTCAAGCATTAAACCTCCAGTCTAAAACCTGTATTGTTTGCCTCGAGTTCCTGTTAGTTTACAGATACTAGATAGCAACGAGCTAGTTAGCTAACGTCAATGACCTTTTGTTTCCGGGGGAAATTTGAGTATTAAAACTAGAAGTAGAAGTATGACGCTCTCTTTCGAGATAAAACTGGCTTATGGTCATATTCCCATCTTTATAAGTCGTATTTAACAAGAACTGAAAATCTGAACCTCCATTCAATAATATTTGAATGAATGTTTAGCATCTGCCGCACATCATTTTCAGTGTTTTACACAAGAAAACAACATGTTGGTGTTTTCAGATTGTATTATTGTTTCTTATCCGTTCTTCCGTCCATTCATTCCTGCAGCTTTGACTGGTTCTATGTTTAAAGCTGATGACTAGAAATATTTGCAGCACATCAGTAGTAAATATTTTTTTAAATGGGTTGAAAAACTGGAAATTTGAGTGTGAAAAAGTATGGAGTTATGATATGGAAATATGTAGTCTTTTCATCCCTTTTTTTGAACGTATTTTGCCTCTTTAACAAGCTGTTTCATGTACTATAATACTTAAGAAGTAAAACCTCTAGAAAGTTATTTTATACCACAGTAATGTTATTTACAGTACAGATGGTGACTGATTTTATTTTTTTATTGCAATAAAAAAATAGATAAATCTTTGATTTTAAAGCGACTTTGGCATCCAGTCACCTTTTCCTACTTGTATGCCAGTTTAAATTGCATTTGAATGGGAAGGGAATCATAATTCAGAGAGAGACTGAACCTTTCAGCTGTGAGGCAGACACTGGAGTCCCGTGGCGTAATGGGCCAGCTGAAGGCTCGGATCCGAGCGGAGGTGTTCAGCGCCCTGGATGAGCAGCAGGAAGCGCGGCCGTCATTGTCCCATGAAAACCTGCTCATAAACGAGCTCATCCGGGAATACCTGGAGTTCAACAAGTACAGGCACACAGCTTCAGTGCTCACAGCAGGTGGGTAAGTCCATCAAAGTGACAAGAATTTCAATACAAACCCAAGCTAATTGTGTCGAGATCAAGCACACGCGTTGTCATGAACCCATCAGCATTTTCACCTAAAAAATTTGTACGTTCCTTTCAGATTTCACTTTCTGTTATGTTAACTTGCTCTGATTTCACACCAACGATCTACTTCTCTCCAATGTTTGCTTTCACAGAGTCGGGCCAACCTGAAACTCCCTTGGACAGACAGTTTTTGGCCACTGAGCTTAGAGTCTCGGAGGATGCAAGCTCCAAATCTGTGTAAGGGTTGAGTCTGTATTTGAAAAATCTCAGCACAGTCTGGTGCGAACTTGGTACAAACACAATGATGTCCTCACAGTGTATAATTTTAAATGGAAATACCAGAGTTTTACAAACTTTCTGCAGTATTTTTAAAATAAGAAAATGTAACTGATTTTATTTAACTCTGGTTTTGTTCAACAATCCAGTCAGTCTGAGGACGAATTTTTATCTTTTGTGCTGTAACCAAAAATATTTAGTTAGCATAGTTTATTATTCATGCAATTCCTTAAATACCTGTTTGTTTGTACAACGTACTTACTTGAAAATACTAGGGGAAATCTTAGCAGTTTTTAGATCTCAGTGAACCTCGATCAATGTGATGATGTGAAGTGAGTTAAGTTTAGCAGTAAATTATATTTCTATGTTTCAGATCAGGGTTTGGCTTTAAAGTTTGATGTCTGTGTCTTTTACTTTTAAGGCATTTGCTCGCCCACTAAATCACATTATACTGACCCAGAACAGCATCTGGGTTCTGGCAACCTTATAGTTGAAATTATGAAGAAAGTGGGGGAAAAAAAGATGACATATTTGCTGTTTTTATTATTCTTATGTTATAGACCTCTGCTGTACGGGCTGGTTTCTCACTTCCTGAACAGCAGTGATAACAGAGGGAAGGTTTTGCTGCGAGGTGCTGCTGTGAGTGTCTCAGCTCCTGGACATGGTTCATGACGTTAAGCTGCCGACCAGCGAAGCTCGCGGACTTAGAGGATGCTTTGGCTCTCCCAGAAGTTCTGCGCCACCGACCTGAATACAACTTATTTTCTGATATTTTATTTTGCAATGTAAAAGACTTACAGAATGAAAGGCTTAAAAGAGGGAATAAAAAGTATTTTATAAGTCGTCAAAGTGTGGGGGGAAGGGAGGGAGGTTTTTTTTTTCTTGTTCTCTTGTGAACAATACATTCACAAGAGAACAAGATGTGAACAATACATTTTGTACAAAAAATAAACTTATTCATATTTTGTGTTTACAAATATATGTCCATTTGCTGTTTTGATAATACAGAATTAATCATTTCAAGATATTTTGAGCTTCATTCAGAAAAGGTGCTGTTTTAATTGTGTGCCACATGGTGGCGATATCACCACAGAAATGGTAAGGACTGCCTGTCTGATTACTGGTGTCCTACAAGCTTTAAGATCCTTCAGTAAACCGGCCCTAAACATTCAGGATGCTAACATGTGTCATGATAACAGGTGTAGTAATTCAGTCATTCAGAAAGAGGTGTGATGCATCAGGGACTTACGTAAAAGACACAAGCCAGAAATGGACACCACCACTTTAGATGGTGCGTTTTTAAATTCTTTTATTGTAGCTAAGTTTCCTGGTTTCTCCAAGATCCAGACATATACATATTTTATCTACAGACGTTTTTTATAGTTTACTTGGGTTTATAAACAATTATCCCATAAAGTTACATTAACACATTTTCTTTGAAAGTCTTTATGGTAATACAAAACTCAAATGTAAAATGGAGTCATAATCAGAATTTCGTCCACATCAGAAAGCATTATCATCAGTTTGGATTAACCTTGCACCTGAGCATCATTAAATGCAGGCCAATTATGTCCAGTGGCTAATTTACCATAGTTTGACAATGAAAGAAAACTAAACGGATCACCTTTAGAAAGTAGTGTGTTCTACGTTTTTCATAATTGACCTGTACAACGTAGTTGAACATGTATTTGTAAGTTTCCAACTTCCTTAAATGTTACCTCAAGAGGAAAGAAAGTGCCATATAAGCCCATAAAGTTGCGTATTGTCTGTTGGAGCCGATGTTCCTGTTCTCACAGGTTGAATTTTCTTCTCTACTTCATGGAAACGAGACAGCTTGTATGGTAGCATTGACTTCCATTTGTCTTAGATGCAGCAGAGGAAAAATTATGTTTCTTTCCAAGCTCAAATTAGAATGAAATTGCATTCCAAGAGGGTCAAACATATCTATAAACATATTGCTCCAATGGATGGCCATCTATGGACATAAAGGCAAAGAAACTGAAACATTAGGACTGTGATCAAAATTTCTATATGTAAAAAAAGAAAAAAATCCCATTGTATGTTTTTTTATTTTTATTTTGATGCACCAGCCTGATGAGAGGTTCACATGCAAAGCAGTTTTTGCAGGTTTATTGATGGACGGCTTCTGGGCGACCTCATGTAATTTCAAAGTGCTCTTCAAATTAACATTTTATTTTGAGTCGTTAAAAATATTCCTGACTTTGTTTCATTTGGATGCTTTCACTTTGCTGGATCTAATTCTTGACTTTCTACTCACATTATCTCCCTCCCTGCTCTTTTGCAGTTGCCCCGGCTTTTAATAATTAATTTGAGGAACTGGTCAGATGGGGTTTTTTTTCCTTCTCTCACACAGCTGGACAAGGGAGGAAGGGATAATGTTTGGACAAAGTAAAGGTCAGATCTTTGTTTTAGAACGCGCTGCTCTGAAACTTTGTGTTCTTGTTTAGTTTCATGATTTCTTACTGATGATGCGACCGAATGGACCTCATTACACAAGACATGGAAGTATTTGTTACAGAACCAACCAACGACTCTGAGGGGCATTGCTAATCTTTCCTCTAACGGAAAAACACTAGATATTCGTTCCTTGATTTATAACCACCTCTTACCTTCACATATTAAGGAACGCTAAATTTACCTGTCACTGATGACTGCAGGGAAATTGTCAGAGCTATCCCTTTCAGAGGCATCTTAGTTTCAACAATGCTGATCCTGTTGGACCATATTTAGTCACCAGGGCTTGGGGTTGTTGCTCATATGAGACTTTGAAAGCAACACAGAAAGCTGCAGAGATTCCACTCTCCTTATATGGCACACATTGCAGCCTCGCTGCTCCACGCATCTGCTGCCTTACTTTCCCCCTTCTTCTCATCTCCTGCGTTTGTCTCATCTCTTCCACGTTTCTCAGTCAGCGTTCCTCCTCCACAAACACCTCCCCATCTTTATGATGCTGGCCTATCGTCAGGTTTCACACGCGCTGGCACGCAACTGCACAGGGTTTTTTGCATCTGGGACTAAACAGGCCATCGCCATCGGGTAGACGCTTGATTTACTGGCACAAACAGAGCGGTGTCCTTATATAGGAAGTTCCATTGGGGAGAAACTGGAAAAGGACGGATGCAGCAAGGAGGGGGGATTTGTTTTCCATACTGGAATGTGGAGGGTGTAAAAAATGGGAAACTCACAAAGAAATCTCACAGTACTTGGTTTAAGTATGAGTTGTGTGCTGGGGGGAACGCTCCAGAGACGTTACAGGGAAGGGGAATCCTCCGCTGGTCTTCCTTATCAAGACAGGGAACACATTGCATGATCCATTCGCTGGACTGGAGCCCACAGACGTTCGTTGCCAGTTCTGTCTTCACTAGATAATTTACATTATTTAGTTTCTAACCAACATCAAATGTGTTCAGGTACAGTTCTCAGTTTCTCAAAATAGAACTATTATGGTGAGGTCTACAAAATGACTGACATAGACATGGTGAAACCCTCCTCTTCAGGGCCTTAAATATAACTAGCACCATGTGTTTTTACTCATTTGTTACCAGTTTCTTTCTGGTAACAAAACTCTCCAAGCCTTTAGTGTAGTTTCTGAAATGGTCATAGCCTTGTTGGCTAAATAATGCACTGCTTTGCTATGTTTTATCATTTAGAATAAACACATCACATCTATTAAAGGAAAATGTAGATTATTACAATAATCCATAAATTGTTCTTTGTGGAAATCTTGGCTTTTTTATGATAATAATATTAAACTGTGTTATATTTATTTGAAAAATGAACCAAACTGCAACAAAATCCTGACCAACTCGCAATTTCTTTGATGAAGTTGCTGCTTTTTATCTTCTGCTTTGTCACCATCAGTATTGTTTGCATATGGTAATTTAGAGATTAGTTAAAAGCCAAATATCACGTTGACTCCAGCTTATTTACTTCACTATTTTAAGCATAAAAATGAAGAACCCTAAACCTTTTTATCAATTTTGTTATGTTACATCAAAAACATCACCATTGCTCATCTCCCAAGGTATGTCAGCATTTAATAATATGTTAAGGCTACAGAGTCACATTACAGTTCAGGGCTTCTTTCTTCCACCAACTCCAGATGCTCCAAGCCGGTACATAAGAACATTACGGTTAAGGAGGAGGAGAATTACCAAAACGGTGGACAGCAGTACCAGACACAGGCAGGTTTTGACAACCAAAATCTCTGAAAAATGGACACAACAGGCAGGCGAAGGAACCAAAGGTGAAGATAAAACAGCCGAACAGAACAGATAAAATGATGGGAACCTGGAAAAGAAAAGCTAAAAACCTTGAACCACAGACATAGAGATAATGATTAAATGAGTTAGTAAATGTGTAATGGTTAACAAATAAGGACCTGTTGTGTAGGGAGAATCTGAATACTAACACATTCAATCAGAGAGAAAGAATGAAATCAGTCCATTTGTCCTTCATTGGGTATTTGGGGTATAAGTACATCTTTTTACTTATTCATCAAAAACAAAATGGAAAGAAATTTGGAAAAACTAAGTAAATTTTTGCTGCTTTTACTGAGTATAGGAAGAAAGGATCAGCCACGTGTTTTTGAAAAGCATTTGATAATCATCAGTGTAACCATCTCAGTGAAAGACTATTTTTCACTTTGCTGTTCTGGAAAAATTAGATGTGTGTTCACACAAAGGCCAGGTGGAAAGACTGCAGTGCCGGTTTCAGAGAAGCGATTGTTGCTGTCCTTCAATCTGGGGACAGTTGTAAGGCCATTCCCAACAATGTGAAGTTTGTCATTTTTTTAGCGAGAGAATAATTCTCAAGAGCAAACACTGACAGGTTTTTCATAACTCCCGACCAGAACACCCCAAGGTCAGAGCACATAACACTCTGCAGATCTCAGTCAGCATGTTACATGCATTTCTGTGCAAATACAAAAGATCGAACAAAGCTTGTTTTTGCCAAGCTTTATTTGTTTGTTTGTTTTTTCTAAAAGGCTTTAGTAGCATTACTTAGATTTTCAAACTTGCACCTGATTTCATAAATCTTCCTAAGTGGATATGATTGCTCTCATCACAAACGTCTCCTTCCAGTTGTCAGGCATGGTGACGGAGGGGTGGTAATTTGGGCTTGTTTTGTTGCCAAATACTCCAGTCATCTTGCAGTCATTGATGAAATATGAGGACATCTGATTGATTAACCTTTCTTAAACAAATAATTCAAATAAATTTCCCTTCCTACTGTGCCCATTTAAAAGGATCTAAGCGATATTAGCTAATTACCAGACAGGTGTTGCTTGCGGTTAGAAATAAATTATTTCAGTGTCTGGCATAAAGACCCAGTCATGTTGATAGTGATGTGCACAACCCTAGATGTACTTTTATCTTTCTCAATATTGTGTCTAAGCACAGATATTGACCTGAATTAAACTGCACAAGCAAATTCATTGTCAGTGTAATCTTCTAAAGTATTCTAGTCTATAATAATATAAAGGTTGCATGCGGTAGTAATTTGACTTTTCATCCTCTGAAACTTCATCAACTCTGGTTTTCTCCTGTTCGACCCCCTGGCGGACCTTACTGCGCATGTCCGCAGCCTCGCTCCTCGACTCTGGCGGAGGAGGCGAAAGGGAGGCACAGTTTAAATGGTCGGGCTTTTAAATTGACGGGGGTCATTTGGACTGCTTGCTTGGGGAGCACCTCGTCGACGGCCACCTTCTCCAAACTCCAGCTTTCCAAATCCGAACTTCCTTCTCGTTATGTGAGTATTTCCTAGCGGAGGGATATCTTGAAATTGACTGAAGCGCACCTGTCAGGCGTCAGCCGCACTTTCTAACTTCACCGCGTTACTTCTTTTTTTTTTTTAACCTACTTTTCCTGAAATTGGATATAATTGGCTAATTAGACACTCGAGTTGCCTGAGCGTCACGTTATTAGTCAACTCACGCTCTTGTTATGAGTAACCAATTAACGCCTTCGGATTGGCCAATTACGCTTTCCGTCTGATTCGTGTTCAGCTGATTTTGTGTTGTTTTGTTCTTTGACAGGACATATAATATGTGTAACACAATGCTGCTGCCGCTGCTTTGTGAATACAACCAATAAGGCTGACCCAGGAGGAGTTTTATTGCTAATTCAACAGAGCAAATTGTTTAACGGAGAGACGCAGGATTGAGAATGACAAAAGGAAGTCCCACTTTTATCTCGGTAAAAGCATGACTGACCATTAATGGAGTTTCCTGTTTTCCAAACGCGGTCCTGTGAAGTTAATACTTACACGACAATTATGTTTAATTTGTTTGGAGGTTTATTTGGAGATGCAGAACGTCAAGGCAAGCTGGAAATGCTCCCCTGTTCTCATAAACATAGACGTGAAGTTATCACTGGACTTTGGGCCAAAGCTTTTGAACTACAAGTGTTTGAACGATGAGTGGGGACATGAAGGTTTTATTTCGTGACAGTGACACTATATTTGTTCTCACTGAAGGAGAAGGGAGTTTTGATTTGACTACATTTGTATTCTGTGTTCAGCCTGATAGCTCTGCATTCTTAAAGCTTATGATAAGAACCCCCCACCCCCCTTTTTTTTTTTTTTTTTTTTTTTTTTTTTGCAGAAATCAAGTGCTAAATTCAGAAAACATGATTCTGTTGTGTTTTTTTTATTTTTATTTCTTAGTCCTAAATGTGTGAAGGATCTAGGTTTCTTAGTTTGATGATAACAAATGTTTGTGGAGCATTTCAGATAGGAAATTATGAACATGATTTACTGGCCTTTAAGGTCAAATTCCCCCAACCACAAATAGAAAGGTCATAAAGTCTACAGGGAAGCTCCTAGTTTATTATTTTTAACAAAGACATTATTAATGCTTCAAAATGACTTGTGGTGTTTACACTGAATTATATTTAACATAATACAATTTGCTTAACTGTAGTTTGGCTACAGACATTGTAACTGATTCAGAGTGTTTTTTGTTTTGTTTTGGGGTTTTTTAATCTCAAATCAGTCTTCTTTAAGATGCAAAAACTTTGACTCAACATTTTAAATGATCAAAGGCTTGATGTGGGTGTTAAATGAAATTGTGTAAAAAAGGAAAGCTGGAAGAGCATGAGGAGGAGCAGTGTGTCCTTTAAACACGAGGTGTGTCAGGAAACGTCCGTTTACTTTTATCTGCAGAGCATCAGCTGATTTAACCCATCTCTCACAATCCCTTACAAAGACTTTCATCTCTGATCTTTGGCCACTTTTGATAGGTTGATGGAAGGTTTTTAGGTGGTCATATTATTTTTAAATAGTCTGTTTAGGTGGATAGCTTTTTTTATTTTTTTAAATCTCAGTGGAGGGTTTATAAGTGTTCTCTGGAAGGCTGGGGCTGTTTTATTACTTAGTTCCCACTCGGTTTGTGGCCGACTCCACAAATAAAAAGATAAAGGCAAGAGTCTGCAGAGAGAAAGATTGGTGATTTATGATCCATCCAGAAAGCTTCACAGAGTTTGTCATGAATACAGAAGTACGTCTTTTGGAGTTGTTTTTTTGTTGTTGTTTGTTTTTTGTTTTAGATTTATTTAACCAAACTAGCTATAGTTGTCGACTTTCCCGCTGAGGGGTGAAAAATATCACTGATAATTGTTTAATAAATTTGATGCTTCAGTGATGGAGAAGTGGGTGTTGTCTTAAACCAACAGTTCACTAAGACAGTGGTTTCATTTCTATTGTGTTCAGTTGGACAATAGTCTGGTCAGAATGCTATAAAATAGGATCCGTGTCACTTTTATACCCAAACAGCATTGGTTCATACGGTCCTTGAAATGGAAACCTCATGGATGAAATGATTTCCTCCAGGTTTTCTTGAATTAAGCTCCATCTATCTCCCTATCAGCTTTCTTTCTTGTTGTTAAAGAGGAACCTCCTCACAGCATGATGCTACCACTACCATGTTTCACAGTGATGATGGTCGAGTTAGTTCTATGCCACGCGTGGAGATCGTCTTCTTTAGTCAGAAAAGCTGGAAAGCTGCTCCACCTTGCAGGACAGTCACTGTCGTCACTGTCTGCCTTATACTCTTACTTTCTCTGCAAAGCACTCAGGAGGATGCAGCTACTCCAGTTTGTTATGTCGCCTTCCTCTGCAGGGCTCTCTAAAAGCAAGACACTTGTTCATAATGCAGCCACTGACTACAACCTTTAAAAATGAATTCCAACAGGGGCCCATGTGAAGCGTGGTTGTTAAAGTCCCGAGCCCCCTCAGCCTCTCTGCCTCGCTGTTATCATTTTGCAGTAAACGACAAAGCCGACCAGAGACATACTATTCCCTATATGGGCTTTGTTTGGGAATTCACTTGCCTTGCTGTTTAGGTCCGCAGAAAGGAGCCCGGCTCCAGAGAAGGAGCCCTTATATGGTCATCACAGCACGAGACTGAAGCTTCCCCTAAGCAGGAGACTGGGAGAGCGAGATATGGAGGGACAGGGGAAAAAAATTGTGGTTATTAAATTTAGGAGGAACTCGATGGTTCAGTAGCAGAACAAGTCGCTCTGTATGAGTTGTTTGGGTTGTCTTTCAGATAAATCTGTTGACACGATGTTGTGAGGTTAATTAAAACCAATTTCCCAGCCTCAGTCGTTATGTCTGCAGTTGAGAGGGGAATTGTTTGTTCGTTTCCCGTGTGACGCGTGGGGTCGAGAGGGAGGTGGACGTCCGTGAGAATGGCTGCTTTCTGAAACTCCCTAATGGGGGGGGACATGAAAAAAAAACACATTTTATGTCTTTTAGCTACAGGCAAGACAATTTTACTGGATTACAGTTCTTTGGAAAAGTATTCACGGTTATCATCTTACTCATATTTTGTCATGTTGCAAAACTTGAATGTATTTTGTGTAATATATGAATAGGAAGGAAAATGTAAAAATTTTTTGTTTACAAATAAAAATTTGAAAAGTGTGGTGAACATTTGTGTTTAGGCCCCCTCATCAAAGCTTTGTAGAACCTTTTGTTGCAATTGTGGCTGCATCTCATTTCTTCTCTGCAGAATAGCTCAAAGACAGTCAGACTGGATGGGAAGCACTCATTTCCAATTGCATTTCAATCTGGACTTTGACTAAGAGATAAAAATAGTTTCATTTAAACCACCACAGTGTAACTGGCTGTAAGGCTCAGGGGCACTGATCCACTGGAAGGTGAACCTCAGGCTCAGGTTGTTTGATACACATTTATTTTTCAGTAATGAGTCATCAGCAGCTTCCCTGGTTTCTGCTTAAGAAAAGCACAGCCTAATGATGCCACCACCATATTTTAATTGGGGAAATGTGAGTTTCATCCGACCAGAGCGTCTTACTCTACATGTCTGCTGTGTTCTCTACCCGGCTGATGGTGAACTAGAGATGTTGCTCATGGCTTTCCGTGAAGGCCAGGTTTGTGGAGTACCCAACTAATGGTGGTTCTGTCAACAGATTCTCCTGCCTGAGCTGTGGATCTCTGCATTGGTCCCCTGGCTACTTCTCTGGTTTATACTCTACTCAGTTTAAATGGATTGCTTTGTTTTTTTATAGCAGTTTTCCTCCAGATGTTTCACTGGGTTTTATAGAGGCTTATCAGGGTCATTCTGAAAATTAATATAAAAGCACAGTTACAATAATATAAGGCTATGTTTTTGATGCGGTATTTAGAATATGAAGCAGCTGAAAGGACTTGTTCCAATGTTCACTCTATTCTTTCTCCCTATCCTCAAATGAGAACCTTTACGCTCCGATTATGATCCTATAGATATGGTGTCATTTGACTATAACATGACTCCTCCATGTGCCATCCATTTCTACCATTTGATGCACTGATTCTTTTCAGCATCTGGCCCTCCACCACTAGCCAAGATGTCCAACAAGGCCCCGTCAGAGGACGAGAAGTTCCTCTTCGTCGATAAGGACTTCCTGAACAGCCCCATGGCTCAGGCCGACTGGTCGGCCAAGAAGCTGGTTTGGATCCCCTCGGAGAGGCACGGCTTCGAGGCGGCCAGCGTCAAGGAGGAGCACGGCGACGAGGTGCTGGTGGAGCTGGCTGATAACGGCAAGAAGGTCACTGTCAACAAGGACGACATCCAGAAGATGAACCCGCCCAAGTTCAGCAAGGTGGAGGACATGGCCGAGCTCACCTGCCTTAATGAAGCCTCTGTGTTGCACAATCTACGCGAGAGGTACTTCTCCGGGCTCATTTATGTAAGTACGCTGCAGAAAACATGCAAATTGCCTCTGAGTGTTATTGATTGTGCATATTGGTTTGACAGGGATCTGAAGGAAACACTTATAATATCTTGGCTTTATTGTTTTGTTTTGTTTTTTTGGCTGAAATATCTTTACATGAACACATTTTCTTACACAATTTCTTCTTAAATTATGTTACAAAAACATAATTTCCTTACTCACTGTCTTCTAACAACCATGAAGGCAAAACGTCCTCCAGGTTTTGAATGTGACATTTTTGTGTTTTCGCAGACGTACTCTGGCCTGTTCTGTGTGGTGGTGAATCCGTATAAAATGCTGCCCATCTACTCCGAGAAGATCATCGACATGTACAAAGGGAAGAAACGGCATGAAATCCCCCCTCATATCTACGCTATAGCTGACAATGCCTACAGAAACATGATGCAAGGTAGGATTTCTCAAACAGTTCCTTCTGAGTCTGTCTGTTTTTAAGATCAACCCGTTCTAAATTAGTCTTAATTAAACAAAAAAAAATAGTTTTGATATGTTTTTATTAACCTTGTCATTGGTTTGATATTTTTTAAATCTGTGTAGAGTGGTAAAATAATTAAGCTGGGCCCCGAAAGTCTTCAAATTAAATAAAAGCTTTACAAATCAGCTTTTGTATAACTGAATATAAAACAATGCAGATCATTGCAAGTATTTTGTACAAGAGTGGATCAAATATAATCCATTGTTTGCAAGTGTGGTTAAGTTTTCCTTTCATCAAGAGCTAAATTGAAGGATGCTAACTTGGATGTGGAGGAGCAACTTAAAGGATATTTTTATATTTATAAAAATATAAATGATTTCAAATGTATGATTATGAGTAGTGAGAAGTCCCAGGAAAGCTACAGATTTGATTGATAAAAGGGATATGCACAAACTAAGAGTGTGTGAAATCATAATGGCTCAACCCCTCAGATGAAGGAGTCGTCAAGTTGCAGTTTTTCACCCTTGCAGCCTGTCATGCCAGTGGATCGTAATGTAGGTCAGAACGATTACCGAGAGTAAAACACTGACTTTTAACTAACTTAAGGAATTTCCTGATCATCTTATGTTCAGTATGATAAATTGTTTTAACTTTTTTTTTCCCTGTTTGAATTAAACTTCAGTTTCACTTGCAGACTTGTGATAACTATTAAGTCAAAATCCTCCTCAAAGCTTCCTTTCTGCTTGCTGTTTTGCAACAATGATGAGGAAACTGGCAGGTTCCTGAATAGTATTTTCCAGCCCGTTTTAGAGTCAGTGTATCAAAGATGTGACGAATGTGGCCTTGGCAGCGCCGTGCTTACAGTAAATGGCTCTTGGCTCAAACTGCAGTGATGCGATTTCACAACAGCTCATTTCCCACAGAATCTGTTTCCAGGGAGCTTTTGCACCACTTGATTTCATGTTGACATGAGGACTTTTTCTCAAAGGAGTTGACATCTGGATTGAGAGATGGGCGGAGGGCAGTAAAGCATTTCCTTCTTCCAAAATCTCCCCTTCAGTTTTGCTGCTACTTCTTTCTTCATGACACAGAATATTTGAAGGAAACTTATGAAGGATGATTTGCAGTTTTGACAGTGTCCAAAGTTGAATCATTCTCTGTAATATTAGAGCTTTTCCATTCAGAATGACTGTATATGTGGTAGAAAATTATTTCCCAAAAAGGAAATTTAAGAAGTCGGTATATTTATTTATATATTTATTGTAAAAGAACTGTTTGATTACATGTAATAAATTCTGCGGCTAGATCAAAAAGTAGATGCACATTATGCCAGCGTTCAGTTATGTTTTTACTTTTGCACATTTTTAGTGAGTTACACAGATGTATAATAAAACGATCTAATGTCCTCTCAAAATAAATTACAAAAATATTCATAACCCATTGAACTGCCTTTAAATGTTGTCACATTTTAATCACAAACAACAGCATTGGGATGTAGTCTGACAAAACGACACACAGTAGTGCCTAATTGGGAAATGTAAGGGAATTGGAACGTGGTTTTCAAACCTTTCAGAAATAAAAATCTGAAAAATCCCATCTGAGGGAAAACTTTTTGAGAACCAACTTTACAGCAGCAAAAGTTGCACATCTAAGGGCTAAAGTTCTTTTAGATTCTTCTGCTTAAAATTTTATTTTATTTCCTTTTCCAAATTCTTGTTGCCGATTCTCAATTGGATTTGGATCTGAGCTTTGACTTCACAGCCATGAACATGTTGTCTAAGAGATTTCTTTGACGTTCTGGTTGTAGGATTACCGCCTTGGGGGAAGGTGAACCACCATGTGTTGTGCTTGGAGCTATGTGCAGCCTTAGTTTGCCCCCAAACTAACTTGTTTAATCTGCATAGAAAACTTTCTTCAACATGTTTGCTGTGTTTCCCTCATCAATTGTGGTAAACTCGGGATGTCTCTCTTTCAGCAGAGGCTTTCCATCTTTCTGCTCTTGCATAAAAGCTTGATTTGTGGAGTCCCTGTTGATGAATTTGTCAATTGATTCTTCCAGCTTAGCTGTGGATCTCTCCAACATCTCCACAGCAGCAATAAACTTCTGAGATGCTTCTTTGATAAGTGCTCTAAAGTGCTTTGCCCAATGGCACATCGTTTTGTGGCACAAACTTTCTAATTGCAGGACAAATACTTAGCACTCTACAGTTCTCTAATAAACCTTAACAGATCACCAGAGATAAAGTTGGACCCAGGCAGGTGGGTGACTTCTGATTGAAAGAACTGTGTTTTATTGAGTAGTCAAAATAAAGGGGGCAGAATTCATCTATCTATGCCCTGAACTTTCCAGATTTTTATTTGTATGACATATATATATATATAAACCATAGCTGCTAATCCAAGACCTCCTGGGACAAACCAGTGCACAGGAAGTTGGTGTTTACGTGAGAGCTCATATTTACACTGTAGCTGTGGAGGTAAACAAGAAAACGGGTGGATTGACTGGTATTTCTGCTGGTGTTTGGATTATATGTCTTCAATTTATCCTTTGCAGAAGCACCATTACAGCTCAGTGCTCAGGTTATGAGTACACCTTAAAGGAATGTACATGCTTTATGCAGGAAAAAAAATTGTTTTAATTTTATGCTTATACCTTAGAATAAACATTTGTTTAGGACTGATGACGCATTACAGTTTCTGCATAATTTAGTTTATGGACCACCCCTTTGTATTTGTGAATAACTTTTCCAATAGTGTTTTCAATGTGACCTCTGGTAAAAATATTGAAATAAAGAAAGAAAGGAAAAACAATATTTGCATTTATTTTACCTTCCTGTTAGAATGTCACCTTCTCCCCTGACCTGTTGCCAATAGAACATGTTTTCCAGTAATATTTCACAAGATTCATACCTCTCAGTGCGCTCTATGACCATGTGAATAAAATTTGTCATCTCTTCCCGCCCCCCTGTGGTCTCTGCGGATGTCCACAGAAAGCCCAGACTTTTTTGAATATGATGAGTGGAGAGGAAATAATACTTGCAGTCACAGAGGTGCCACAAGCAGAAATCTGCTTCATTAGTAAATGATCACAGGGAAAACTGGGATCAAAAACATGCCGTGATATTGTGGTGTGAAATCGCCTTCTTCTTTTTGTTTTTTCTCTCTTGTGTGTATAAACCTGCAGGATGTTTCCCCCTGTGTGGCTTTATTGGAAGTTGTGCATTTCTGAGTGGAGCTCTGATATTGCTGAGCTAAAAATGGTTAAACTGGTTCTCTCCCATTGACGCAGGGAGTCATGTTAAGCCTTTATTTCCCTCGGGTCTTCTGTTGGATTTAGGCATGGAGTCGAAGAAGTCTTTATAAAAAGGTTGAACTTTGTGGTTGGGAGATTATTTCTGTATTAATTTGGCCTTGTTTTTATATTATTATCCTGATGAAAGATACAGTGACTGCCTGTTCATATTCTGGCAGAGTTCACTGGATTTTTATTTAAAATCTTTTGTTATGTGTTTCTACATAACTTGAGGCCAAGTTCTCAAAGAAGGTTCCCATTTTGTCAGCCTCATTTTGTCACAGGACCTCCACTATACCGGGAAAAGAAGTGTCTTTCCACACATTCAATTTGTCTTCTTTGAACCAGCTTCCATTTGTGATGGTAGGACAGAAATAACATTTTTCTCCCTGGTATATTAGCTTCTAGATATTGTTTTACTTGAGGAAATCAATGAGTATCTGCCTGACTAGAATGGCTTTCTATCTTAAAAATAGTGCTGAAAAGAAGCTGCTTAGTTATTTTTACATTTCGTAGTTAATGAAACATAAATCTGCTCCTAAGGGCAAGTTTATGCGGCGTTAATGCTGGCTGTATTTCCCATGAAGTTGAAACCAATGAAGCGGGATGTTTCACACTGACTAGTCTAGTAGGAACAATTCTCATGTTGGAGTCAAAGTGATGCATAACTACCACAAATTCAGATTATTCTCCTAAGCTTTGAAATATTCAACCCCAGCTTGGCTGAGATCCCAGGCCTCCAAAATTACCCTTCAGTCTTTGATGTGCAGCAGATAAAATGTGAAATTCCCAGAAGGGAGTTGATGTCTCATTGCAGGAGAAAACCATTTTATTCCTCTGTGCTCCCTCTATGTTTAGAGGTGTAAAGATCTCTGGCCTTTTTTAACAATCATATGGACTTCATATGTCTGACTCTGTCCCATAAACATGTTTAAGCATTTCTGTTCCCTTTTAGGTTTTGTTGAGTGAGCTGTGTTTTTGGATAGTGTTCAAAAAGACGCTTATCTGGCCGTCGCACGTTCCCTCTCCCTCTGCCTTAATTAGGAAGTGTAGAGTAGGAACCGGCTGCATGTTTTGTGACTGCCTACGAAGAATGGAGAGTCAAGTTAGCACTAACCAACCACGTCAGCACTGGCTTGTGTTATATGTGGAGCAGATCTGTAAAGATACTTTGTTTTTGACTCTGCATTTAAACATTACATGAAGTGATTCACCTGGTGCAGCAGTTGCTCTCGACTATTCAGCATCGAGCTTGGAGGTGTTTTGTATGCAGGGACTGAATCACATGAATTATCACTCAGATCAGTTGGCTAAAAACTGTTGCGGTATGACGTTAGTTTCACACTACATAAACTTCAGGTTTCACACCAGAGTAATTTTAGAGTGCTGTAAAACTAATCCAACTGCATTGTATCATAAAATGAGCTGAACTGAATGTATCAGAGTTTGAATCTATTTATGTGGAGTGACTTGTATGTAATGCTTTGCAAGAACAGCTGCCCTCTTACAGACTCCTTCTACTTCCGAATTTCTCTTGGCATAACGTTTAACATCCAACAAATCAATACTTGTTTTGTTTTTGTAATATTAGTTGCATTTAAAGGTAAGTTGAAATAAATGTGAACTAAAATAGACAATGCTGAGTATGCAAGTGTGTGTGACTAAATATTCTTTGGGTACAAAATTTAAATATATCAGATTTTCTTTTGTTTTTGTTTAGTTACATCTGCTTCTTGGTGCAGGATTTTGCTTTGCTGTTTGTGATTGGTTACGTATGCAAGGAAAGTCTGGATGAAATAAGACCAGTCTGTGGTTGGTAGGTGGTGTGGTTTGTTTACATTTACTTTATCAACTTGCCAGTCAAGCACAGACCAGAACACATTTTGATCAAGAATGTGTGCATTTTTCTTTCTGGTTGTAACTTTCTCCGTTATCAACAAATTTAACTAGCATTGAACTGGAACACATGGAATCGGTATGACTGGGCTGAATTGACTGCATCTTTATATAAGGAGAATATTGTTTGTTTTATTCTTTTGCAATGTGGCCTTGATATTAGATAGGTGTTTTTGTTTTCACAAATCAGTGATCTGTAAATAAACTGAGCTCTATTGAAACATTCAAGTGTGACCAAAAAAAAAGCAAAAATAACATCTGTCTGAGGGGAAGTATTTCCTCTCACCACTGCAAGTTCAGACCCTTTGCCACATCAATGAACTGAAACGAGAACCTCTGTTACCACCAGCTGATGTATAAACCCCAAATAGCATTTAGTTTTAGTACTTTTGCAGGTGATCTCAATTCATCCCATTGTTCATATGCTGCTGAATCACTTGCCATAAATATATAATGCTGCCACTCTCTTTGATTTTGCAGATCGTGAGGACCAGTCCATTCTCTGCACGTAAGTGAAACAAACTCCAAATGTCTCACATTTATGTTGTGTTATAAGACCTGATGTCACAGAACAGTTACATAATGCTGATGCAAGCAGAGATCTAAACCAGAGGCCAAAAGTAAATGAAAACTCCTTTCTTGTCTATTCATGCTAGAGCTTCTGCAGTTCTCTGGGAGATCCGTGTCCTTGCTTGTCACCCAGGGATTTAGTCAGGAAGTGTGTCGTGAACTCTGATGGGAGAACCAGATTAGCTCTCCAAATGTTTGAGCTCAGCTCTGTTTATTTGAACTAAACAGATTATTGAGAATTTTTGAACAGTTCCAGAGACAATTTGATGTGGTGCATTAACTTTCATTAAATTTTGGCTTGTTTATTTACTAAAAGTTTATCATGTTATTAGTCATTCAAGCTGAATGTCATATCTTAGCTTCATCCAGTGCCAGTACAGGTGTGTTGCATGCAACTACTTAAAGTAAAAACAAGGCGGGGAGAGGGGATGAATGAGCTGTACAGATAAAATGCATACAACAACAAATTACATAAAATGCATAATTAAAGTTTCCATTTTCAAAGTTTGCTCAGACAGATCTGACTGCATAATTTCATTCTATATCTGGACAGAAATGTTCTCGGTGTCCTGAACCAGCTGAGAGAAAAAGGTTTTCCCCAACTTTGCTCTTAATTTATTGCAACCAGGATGCAGTGCATTCTTTCCCATCAAGCAATTTCCTCAGCGATTATCCTTTCTTATCAGAGGGAAACTGGAGAAGTTTAGATAACTCTATACCAGCAGCCAAATATCAGATGTTTAACGCGAAGGGAAATTTGTATGGAGCATGAATGAAAAGGGTTTAGAAGGAGAAACTGTCAGGATGTTGACCTGTGCCTTGTTTTAAACATTATATCTGCAGTTCAGGAGTAATAAGTAGAAATATTTGGCTATAGGAGATGTTTTTTTGTTAAATAATATCCCTCTACTCAGTAAAGTGTGGAAAATGCTTACAAATATAGTAAATGCATTTTGTAAATGTTGACGTGTAATAATATAATACAGGGCAGGACATGAGTGAAATCTATGAGGAGTATAAAGTACAAGGAGCTTCCCACACATATTTCCCCCCAATAATATTTTACTTATTTTAAATTATCTGGAAAAGCAAAACTAAAACTGTCTTACCATATTTGTGCTCTGACACTCAACAGCCTGTCTGCATATTGTTTAAAGTCTAAACATTTGTTTGTTTGTTTTATGTGGATATTTTCCCTCTTTAAACGACACAGTAAAACTCCATAGAAGAGGCAAGATAAAAATTTCTCAACACAAGTTTGAACATAATGAGAAAGTTGCTGCTTTCAGTGATAAGTCACCGATTAATGAACAGAAGAAAATTTTGGATGCATTTTAATCTGCATTCCCAAATATCTGCAGCTTGAGTCTGGATGTTGTACGTCCTTACTCAGCCTAAACATGACACCACAGTTAGATTCCTCTTGGAGCTGCCAAACCCTAACAGAGTTTCCCGTCCCTTTTAAGGACCCTCGAACAAGCTTGCATGTGTGCTCTGCCTGACGTCTCTGGGTCTAATCAGACTCCTGTATCCAAGTTTGTTGTGTGGAGAGAAAGAATCTGTCCATGTTGCTTTGTGAAAACATTTGAGTGACTTTAAAAAGATGTAGCAGCACATAGTTCAGGTTAGAGCGGTCTGATGGCCTTGCCATAACTTTAATTTAGATCCAAAAGAGATTTGTAAGAGACCAATAACAAGCTTTAGTTTGGCCTGCCTGATATGGTGTGTTAAGGTTTGAAAGCCACCTGGACTCCTTCAAACATTGATTTTGTCATTGTGACCCTGGAAGCTTTTAAAACACCTGATCTTTGTCTCCTCTGAACATAAAAATATCTGCAGAAAACATTTGCCTCGCCCATGTGGGCTTCTGTAAATGTCGGCAAAGCTTGAAGGTGTTGGCATCCTTTCAGTCTTAGGTAGTGGTTCTTGTGTTTCTCTTTACATCCTGAAGAGATTTCTTTTTAATGTTGACAATGAAATTGGGGGTTACATGGTTAAAACCTGAACACTGGATTAAAGGGACAATAATCCCAACCATGTGCATGAACTATTTGACTAATAAATCTGGCAAACATCAAGCTTCTGGAATAATCTCAACCTTGTTGCCAAGTTCTTGAGAATATTTAAAAGTAAAGTTATTGGGAAGATAATAACTCATTTAAATGATCTCTGCCAATTTATATTACAGGAGTTATTGTATCGCAGCAGAATTATTCCATGTTGTTTTTGATTCCCACAACCATGCTTTGATTCTTTGTGACTTGGAAATTGGCATATATCAAAATGTATGATGCATACCACCATATGCATCATTTTGATCTGATGTCAGTAAACGGCTGCACGTTGATCCCTACATGTTCTGTTTTAATGCTAAACCAAAAGACTGAAATGACTTAAATAATCCCAGATCAGCTGAATTTTCAGACATAAAAAATTCCACTTTATCAAAGTATCAGATTACATAACGGCAAGTTAGATTTTACTTTGGGTCAGGCAGTGGTGCAGTTATCTCTGCAGCACATGATTCCCATCAAATTAAACTGGACTGTTGAACTGTGAACAAAAATCCTGTCAGTTCTATTTATCCTTATGGTTATCTCTCTCTTGAGATCTGTTAATCCCGTTCTTACTTTGTTTCCCCCATTCTTCAGAGGCGAGTCTGGTGCCGGGAAAACGGAGAACACCAAGAAGGTCATCCAGTATCTGGCTGTTGTGGCCTCGTCTCACAAAGGCAAAAAGGACAGCAGCGCTGTAGGTATCTGTGTGAAGAACTCGTGTTAGGATCTGTCAGTCACTTCCCTCACTCTAAAAAAAAACCTGCCCAGTTTAATTCTGTATATTTCCTTCAAATAGCAACAATCAGGATCACAGTTTGCATACGTGAGTAATGGGGAATGCCTGAAGTGTGCCGTTTTTGGGGGGTTTTTTGCGTGTGCCATTGGTGTGTTCTGTTAGAAAAGTGCATGAAGTTTAGTGTCACAGAATAAGAGTTGTTCTACCCCCAGGGTGTCCAATTTTCTAAAATTAGGTGGCGTTTTCTTCAACATATTTCACTAGCTACAGCTCATTTAGAACAGCCTCCTCGCTGGAATAAAATGTTGGCATACTTTCCAGGACGTCTTCCTAAAAGAAAATGCAACTTTTTACTCTGGCGACTGGCTCGTTCAGACTGCATGATGGTTAGTAGAGTACTGGCACGCAGCGATGAACGTGCCCCTTTTCCTACCTTGAGACGGGATTTTTGTCAAATTGATGGTTTTCTCTGCTGCTGGAGATGAAATCAAACTCTCTGCAGCAGCGAAAGAGTCTCTCACAGGTCATCGAGCACAGTGTGAGCATGCCCATCTCCTGTTTTTGTCTGTCAAAATCCAACAACCTCTTGACTCCTAAACATAGAATCTACCTGTGAGGTACATAGGAAGTGTTCACTGACTCTTCTGTTGCAGATTATATTGTTTTTTCATCAATGTTTTTTTTTTTTTTTACATAGACCTCGTAAACACTGACAGACACATTCACACACAGCAGAAATCCATCCCAGCTCATGAATCCACCTTGTGTTCATACAACAGCCCGTGCAAGGTACAGGTTTGTGCAAAAGTGAAAGAACCAACATTTGATCTTTACACAAGTTTATCAGCTGAAATTATTTCAACAAAAGATATCATAGATGTTTTTTTAACAGCTCCTCTAACTGTACAGATTTTATTGTTTTACATTTTTATGACATAGGTTCTGGAAGTGTTCATGCCATGGCACATTGCCTAAAGACAAAAGGTGTGAAAAACAAGGATTTATACAATTTGATGAAGCAAAAAAGACATTTTTCTCAGTAAAGTGATTTGTCCATTGGCATCAAATTTGCACCAGATTTCTGTCACAATTGCATCAAAACAAAATATTCCAGAAATTGGGTGCATTAAGTGAAGTCACACAGCATATAAGTGTAGCAGATTTTTACTGAAAATTTCTTTAGTACCAAGTAGAAAAGGTAAAAGAACAAGTTCATCCACACAAACTTTTTTTTTTTATTTTCTTTAATAGATTTTCCAGTTTGAGTCAGATTGACTGACATCAATGACTTTGCTGTTTGGCTTTGAAACCAATTGAAAGCTTCAAAATCTACACTTGATTCACCTTGTCGAGAATAACCCAAACATCTCCGTTACTTGATGTTTGCGTCCATTTTGTCCTCCAAACACGAAGGGCAAACTCCATGTTTGGAGTTTTCTGGTCTCCTGTGACCAGACTATATTCTCCCTCTAGCTTGTTGGATTGTCCAAATGTTCTGTGGTAAACTTTAACATCCTTCAGCAGTGAGTGTGCATGGAGTTCATTTATCTTATTGTTTTTAGGGGAAAAAGCTGTGCCTGCCTCCAGGTTTTCCTAAAACTAACTCCTCAGGGCACCTGGTCATGGCTAAGACATTTCTAAAGGAATCTGAAACCAGTGCCATTAATTTTTACCACAGTAACGTTTTGAAGATTTTAAGTTCTCTGTTTTTACCCATCATGACATGCTTTTGATTTGAAAAGCTTTCAGTGAGGATTAAACCCACTGATCTTCATTTCTGACAGGGAGCAGAAAGGCTTTTTACTGCAGATTTCAGACATTTTCTTTTTGTACTTTGTGTTCTGATCTTATTTCCTTTTTGTTCCACTTTTTTACACTTGTTGCATGGAGTTTTTTGCTTTTTACTTTTTTATCTTGTGTGAATTTCCTGGTTGTGTTGTTGATGTGGTGTGTATTTAATCTCAAAAGCCTTGACTTGGTGAGGGGGAAGCCGGTTTCGGTGATCATGTTCTGTATTAGGCTATGTGTGTGAATTGTTGTTGAAGTGAGTAACTTTTTTTTCCTACTAATCTCAAACACCCTAGTTATTCTTTCCTCTAAGTTACAGAAGCTCCCACAGTTTGAAAAGAAATAGTTTCAGGAATGTTTTTGTTTGTTTTCCTCTCTGTCCTTTTCATGCCTTTTTGACTCCTGCTGCTTATGTCTTAAAAGTTTATATTTACATTTCATGAGATGCAAGTTTTTCCTTTACTTCCATCTTGCTGTGCTCTGTCTTCTTCCCTTTGTTTTATAGTTTTCCTGAACTCTGAACAGCACATCACCAGTGGGTCTGTATTTTCCCCTTTTCCCTAAAACATAAGATTGGCTTTTATTTTTCCGCATTGAGTACAGAAGTCCGTTTTTTCCAGAAACATCACATTTATATTCAATATAAATAAATTCCATGAATTCAAATAAGAGAGACTTTTTTTTAATCAACTTTGAATATAAATCAATTACCATCAATATGAAGAGCTACTTCTTGATACTGTTTTCTTTTTTCCCTTCTTTCTCCTTCAAGCTTTAGCTCATTTACACAGTGGGTGTTTTTAATTGAGAACGTTTCTGTAGAGGTCATGAGCTTCTGACCTCAATGCAGACAAAAGGAACCACTTTGATCAGGAGGATTAGCTCGATCCAAAGTGATGGGCTGACACATTCACTCAGCTACTTCTGTTGGAGACAAATTACATCTCCAGAAAATATGTTTGGATAGTTGTATAATTCTTGATACATCGAAATATATCAAATAGGTTTTCTTAAACTAACAGACTGTCTTGATTCTGTGTAATTATGCCTTTTACTGCTAGCTGTGAAATGCCTTAGTAGTGGTGAATCAATTCGATGAATTATTTCATGCCTTCGTCCCCCTGTCCCGCATCATTATCGTGGTAAACATCCACTGAGAACCACCCTTATGTCTTCTTGACACCACCTACATCTGTCACCAGGGTGAGCTGGAGAAGCAGCTTCTGCAGGCCAATCCCATCCTTGAGGCCTTCGGAAACGCCAAGACCATCAAAAATGACAACTCCTCTCGATTTGTGAGTTTGTGGTTTAAAGAAGTATACATTTTATTTATGTATGATATTTTCCAGTCCGTGATAGAAAGCTCACTTTTCCTTTTCGTCTCTCTTTCTCAGGGAAAATTCATCCGCATTAACTTTGATGTGACGGGCTACATCGTTGGAGCCAACATTGAGACTTGTATCTTTCAATGAGATTTTTTGCAGCTCTGAAACTACTTCTGTCACAATTTAGGCAATTCTAGCTACTTGACAGCCTGCAGTCTCATCACACCACAACTCTTTGACAGAAGTACAGAAGAGATTAAAATGATAGCTGACAGATTGTGTCTTGCATATGAAGTCATGCCACTTGACATTTTCAGCAGTTTGTTGCAAACACAAACTTCTGTGTATTCTGTCAGTCAAAAAAAAGGCAATCTATAATTGCAGAGAGAGAGAAGAGGGATCTATATATTGTTTACTCTGAATGCACATTTGTGTTCCTCAACTAGAGGCTGCTCTCAGACCTGCTGGAAAAGTCCCGGTGCATCCGGCAGGCGAAGACGGAAAGAGCTTTTCACATCTTCTACTACATGATCGCTGGCGCCAAAGACAAACTGAAAGGTTGGACGGTTATTAACTTTAAGCTTCTTTAAACTCCCTCGTATCAAGGAATCAAAATCCTTACAAATGGGGGAAAAAAATGTTTGAAGACAAATGAAAGCTGAGCGTGCTCCCAATGAAGTAATGAAGTTTTTTGACTGTTTTACTTATGTTATCATCAGAGGACCTTCTTCTGGAGCCCTTCAGTAATTACCGCTTCCTGAGTGCGGGCCACGTTCAGATCTCTGGACAGCAAGACGATGAGCTGTTCGAGGAGACCATGGAGGCAATGAACATCATGGGCTTCACTGACGAGGAAAGAATTGGTAACAGCGGCTTTGCTGATTACTGTGCATGGAAATGCCTGCATATCTCATGCAGTGGCAGTACCTTAATCAGTCTACTTCATGCGTTTGCTCTTAATGATACAGACATATTGAAGGTTTGCTCCACGGTAATGCAGCTGGGAAACATTGAGTTCAAGAAGGAGAGGAATCAAGAGCAGGCCACCATGCCGGACAACACTGGTTAGAAACTTTTACGTCCAACGAGTCGAATAATGTTTTAATTACAAATTTCTGTGCTTATTGGCTTTAGTACTTAACCACTTTTTTCACATCCCCAGCGGCACAGAAGGTTTGCCACCTGCAGGGCATCAACGTGACGGACTTCACCAGAGCAATCCTCACCCCTCGTATCAAAGTGGGCAGAGAGGTGGTGCAGAAGGCACAAACCAAAGAGCAGGTAAAACCAATTCAAACTACACACTACAGGTTAATTTAGAAGTGCTTGTAACAGTCGGTGCTTTTGATTTGTTGATAGATTTTGTTTCGTTTGTATGCATTAGGCTGATTTTGCTATCGAAGCTTTGGCTAAGGCTGTTTTTGAGCGACTCTTCCGCTGGATCCTGGGCCGTGTCAACAAAACATTGGACAAGACCAAACGTCAGGGAGCCTCCTTCCTGGGAATCCTCGATATTGCCGGCTTTGAGATTTTTGAAGTATGAACATATTTGTCAATCACATTTCATCATTGCGTGTCTACAAATGCCTTGAGGTAAAAGTACTTGCACAGATGGAGGACATGTGATGTGGATCTTCTGCTGTGTGTGTCAGGACAACTCATTTGAGCAGCTGTGCATCAACTACACCAACGAGAAGCTGCAGCAGCTCTTCAACCACACCATGTTCATCCTGGAGCAGGAGGAGTACCAGAGGGAGGGCATCGAGTGGAACTTCATCGACTTTGGACTTGACCTGCAGCCCTGCATCGAGCTCATTGAGAGGCCGGTAACGAGTACTGACACGTTAAAAGTAGCCACTGGAAATAACACATTGCAATAACTTCCATGCACAGAGGAAGTTTAACATGTAAAATTATCTATTTTTTTGCTAAGCCCCCTTGTGCATCTTCTACAGAACAATCCTCCAGGCATCTTGGCCCTGCTGGATGAAGAGTGCTGGTTCCCAAAAGCCACAGATGTCTCTTTTGTGGAGAAACTCATGAACACGCAAGGAAGCCATGTGAAGTTTGCCAAACCAAAGCAGCTCAAAGACAAAACAGAGTTTTCCATTCTTCACTATGCTGGAAAGGTGAATATGAAGAAATGGCACTGATGCTCACAAGAAGAAAGACTTTCTTTTAATCTAAAATTATCTCATTTTTTTAAAATAAAGTTTCTGAAGGTTTTTCAAAGATTTATTTATTTTTGGGGGGTGATTTTGTTCCCGTTCTGAGCAAAAACAGTTGGTCAGATCAGCTGATTTTTATTTTTTCTTCTCTTTTTACATTTTTGTAATGGAGATGACCTATTTCAAAATCTCAGAAATGAATCATCCCTCAGTTCACTATATGTTGTCTCCCAAATTTTCACCTCTTGATTCTTTCTAAATGACTGTCGGAGCTAAAATATGTATTTTCTGTTTGTGCCATTGTCAATTTGTAATTTTCATACATTAAGGCCAATTAAGATGACGCGAATTTGCTTCTTTGTGACAGCAAGCCGGTTTATAATTGGTTCATTATCAAACTGTTCATACCTTCCAGTTATTTTAACAAAGCAAAAATGTATTTCTCTGATGACAAGATTAAAAACTTTTTCCACTATGTTGTTGAAAAAAGTTTCCTTTGATTGCTTATGCCTTATAGGAAGAAGAAAATCCACTAAGGTTATGTAATGATTTTGTGTTTTAGGTAGATTATAATGCAACAGCCTGGCTGACAAAGAACATGGACCCTCTAAATGACAACGTCACAGCACTGCTCAACAACTCCTCCAGCCCATTTGTGCAGGACCTCTGGAAAGATTGTGAGACATGAGATATACACAAAATAATTATTTCTCACACGTGAACAAATACCTTACCTAGAAATCTACATATTGTGTAAATGTACGAGCTCTGTTTACACTTTGTTCTTCAGCGGACCGGGTGGTTGGTCTGGACACAATAGCCAAGATGACGGACAGCTCCATGCCAAGCGGGTCAAAAACCAAGAAGGGAATGTTTCGTACTGTGGGACAGCTCTACAAGGAGTCTCTGGCAAAGCTCATGACAACACTGCACAACACTCAGCCCAACTTCGTCAGATGCATCATCCCGAACCACGAGAAGAGGGTTAAGCGCAATACATAGCTTTTGCATCATATCCTAAAGTTCTTGCTGTGGAAATCCTAAAATTGAACCTTTTCAGGCAGGGAAGCTGGACGCACACCTGGTGCTTGAGCAGCTGAGGTGTAATGGTGTGTTGGAGGGAATCCGAATCTGTCGGCAAGGTTTTCCAAATCGAATTGTCTTCCAGGAGTTCCGTCAAAGGTTGGTGTTAAACTATTTGTCTTACTATCCAGTTGATGACAAATCTGGGTAACTGCGACTTTTGTCCGTCTCTGTACAGATATGAAATCTTGGCTGCAAGTGCTATTCCAAAAGGCTTCATGGATGGCAAACAAGCCTGCTGCCTCATGGTGGGAACAAATTTTTAATCTCATCTTCACAGTGACCTTCATCTTACTGCTCTTCCTAAAAGTCCTATTAAAATCTTATGTCTGTGCAGATCAAGCATCTTGACTTGGACCCCAACCTGTACAGGATTGGACAGAGTAAGATCTTCTTCCGAACTGGAGTGCTTGCCCAGTTGGAGGAGGAGAGAGACCTGAAGATCACCGTGATCATAATCGCTTTCCAGGCTCAGGCGAGAGGCTTCCTGGCTAGAAAGTAGGAGTGCCCAAGCTTTTATTCACACAATTTTGTCTGCTCTCACTCAACATTAACATGATTTACTTTTATGATTTCATGTTCTTTATTATTTTAACTGCTTTGTTTTCAAAGGGCATTTGCCAAGAGGCAGCAGCAGCTAACAGCCATGAAAGTGATCCAAAGGAACTGTGCTGCTTACCTTAAACTCAGGAACTGGCAGTGGTGGAGACTCTTCACAAAGGTCTGATCCTAACGGACAACGATGTCACAGCGTAGCTTTTTTCTAGCCTATATTTAGTGTTGTGCAAGATCTTCCTTAATAAGAATTAGTTCTGAGTTTTCTTCACATGAGTTAATATTAACTTATTTAAATGCCTTCCTCATGATTAAACATGCCAGGCTCAGTATCAGTTTTTTTTTCTCCAGTTGTAGATTCCCTGCCTGCAGCAGGTTCTGCAGAATAATACCAGAACTTTGATGCAGTAACAACTCAGTATAATTAAAATTAAGCCACAATCCTGCAGTTTAAATTAAGTTTAAAATAGATATGCATCATTTACCAACAATAATTCAGCACAAATGTATATCTTTAACAGAAAATGTTTTCTCTTGTGCACATATGGAAAGCTTTTCACTTTGAGGGAAATTTTGCAGCGCTATGCTGTATGGAAAGTTTGATGTTAGCCTAATTTTCTTGATGTTGCATCGAGCCAAAAAGCTAAGCCAAGCGATCTGACTACATTGGGACCCTCATCTATGGTAATGAGACAGGATCACTGCAGACAGATGACTAACAAGCAGCTGAAATGAGCTTCTTCCAGTGAGTGATGAGGCTAAGCTTTAGAGATGGGGTCATATCTGGGTTTCCCTCCTGGACCAGCTGCCCTCAAGACCTGATTTTGAACTAACTGAATAAATGATTTAAAACAATTTTAAATTTAACACCAGTTTAAAAATGTTTTCCTATCGTTCGCTATTTACAGGTCAAGCCTCTGCTGCAAGTGACCCGACAAGAGGAGGAGATGAGTCTAAAGGAGGAAGAGCTGAACAGAGCCAAAGAGGTGGCAACCAAGTTTGAATCAGAGCTAAAAGAAATCACCTTGAAACACTCTCAGGTAAAGGATGACACAACCAATCACATGGTTTACAATCAGTTTTTCAGACCTTTCTGCTAGATATTTAAACATGAATATTTCATGTTTAAATGACTTGCTTAATCCTCTTTTTTGTATTTAAATTTACAAAAAAAAAGCAAACATAAAGAAGAAATTACTATTTGACTCTACAGATTGTAGAGGAGCGGAACGCCCTGCAGGAGCAGCTCCAGGCTGAGACCGAGCTGTACGCAGAGGCAGAGGAGATGAGGGTCCGCCTGGCAGCGAAGAAGCAAGAGTTGGAGGAGATCCTCCATGAGATGGAGGCCAGGCTGGATGAAGAGGAAGAACGCGCTCAGACACTGCTGCTGGACAAGAAGAAGATGCAGCAGCAGATGCAGGTCTGATCTGATCCGTCACTTCTCTGCTCATTTGTCCATAATGACAGGTGTTGAAACTAATGGCTGGGTTGCTTTTTCCTAAAGGAACTGGAGGAGCATTTGGAAGAAGAAGAGGATGCTCGTCAAAAGCTGCAGCTGGAGAAAGTGACGTGTGATGGAAAGATAAAAAAGCTGGAGGATGACATCCTGGTCATGGAGGACCAAAACAACAAGCTGCTTAAGGTCTGGTTTGCAAACCAGAATAATTTATTCCAGATTTCTGACTGTCTTACTGGGAGAGTTTATTTGTGATGGCTTTTTTAGGAGCGCAAGCTGATGGAGGAAAGAATTGCTGATTTTAGTGCCAATCTGGCAGAGGAAGAGGAGAAATCCAAAAACCTCACAAAGCTCAAAAATAAACACGAGTCCATGATCTCAGATTTAGAAGGTAATCCAAATCCAGATCTTGTAGCGTGAAAAAAAAAAAAATTGGTTTAACAAAGAGATTGCTGAGTTGACTTTTCTGCCGTTCCAGTCCGCTTGAAGAAAGAAGAAAAAACTCGGCAGGAGCTGGACAAGGCAAAGCGCAAGTTGGAGGCAGAATCCAATGACTTACAAGAGCAAATAGCCGACCTGCAGGCCCAGATCGCTGACCTTAAGGCTCAGCTGGCCAAGAAGGAAGAAGAATTACAGAATGCATTGTCCAGGTGACGCCCTGCATTTGCAAAACATTCATTCCCCTGGGACTTTTACTCATTTTTCTTTTCTTGTTATAAAGTATCATTTGATTTTATGGGCATAATTCTATCGCTCTATTTATGAGATGGTACGTTGTTTCAAAACATTTTTTATTGAGCATCAGAAAACGTCAGCTTTCATTTGAATTCAACATCCTTCAGATTGTCCTAAATAAGATCAAATTAAGCTGATTTCTCTCAGAAGTATTTTAGCATGTAAATTGAGTCTGCCTGGCCAGAATGATGGACCTAAATTTAACTTTAAATATTGATTTCAAGGTTTTGACACATTTTGAGATGCTTTTTGTAGATTGAGAACAGTGGTGAATAAAATGTCAGGCTTTGGATGTTCAAAGCTGGGAGAGATGGACCCCAAAAGTTGTGTAGTGTTTCTTGCTGTTGCAAATTATAAACGGTTTATATTAAAAACTGGACATTAAGTGAAACGTGTTTCTAAGCATTGTCTTTCCTTTGTTTTCCACACCACAAACATGCACGTAGTTGTTAATTTACATAAAATGAGAAAATGAAACTTGGAATTGCAATGTGACAAATAAACCAATCTCAAAAGTAACCAAATATTTGCTTGAGTTCAAGTTGACACCTTTCATTCCTCTTAGGTTAGAAGATGAGACTGCCCAGAAAAACAACGCTCTGAAGAAGATCAGGGAGCTGGAGGGTCACATCTCCGATCTGCAGGAGGACCTCGACTCGGAGCGAGCGGCCAGGAACAAGGCGGAGAAGATCAAGCGCGACCTCGGCGAGGAGCTGGAGGCTCTCAAATCAGAGCTAGAAGACACTCTGGACACAACTGCAACTCAGCAAGAGTTGAGGTTGGTCATGGATATCGTTAAAGAAATTTTATAAAGTTAAGAACAGCTTTTCTTTGCTAAAAATAATAATAATAATAATTGTGCCTCGCTGACTGTCTGCAGAGCCAAACGAGAACAAGAGGTGACCCTGCTGAAGAGAGCCATTGATGAGGAGAACCGCACACACGAGGCCCAAATACAGGAAATGCGACAGAAACACACCCAAGCTGTGGAGGAGCTGACGGAGCAGCTGGAGCAGTCCAAACGAGTACGCCTGGGTCGCTAAACACACAAGCATTGTGATTTTTATCCCAGTAGATGCTAATGTCATAACCATCTTCTGCACAGGTGAAGTCCAATCTGGAGAAGGCTAAACAAGCTCTGGAGAAGGAAACCTCTGAGTTAACCATGGAGGTGCGCTCACTGACTCAGGCCAAACAGGACGGGGAGCACAAGAGGAAGAAGCTGGAGGGCCAGGTGGCAGATCTGCAGTCGCGCTTCTCCGACAGCGAGAAGCAGAAGGCTGAGCTGGGAGAGCGCTGCTCTAAGATCACGGCAAGTTTTTTTTTTTTTTTGTTCTTCAAAGCACTAGTGCAGAAATAAAGTGAAAATTTTAAAGTATTGCAGTGCAGAAATAATTGAGCATTTTCTCTGTGCAGGTTGAACTGGAGAGTGTTACAAACTTACTGAATGAAGCAGAGGGAAAGAACATCAAACTGAGCAAAGACGTGACCAGCCTTTCTTCCCAGCTCCAAGACACGCAGGTTTGTGCTGAAAGATGTGTAATTTCTTCAGGTGTGAATGTTTTCAACGGCGCAAGTTTGTGACGAAGGTAATCACTCTCTGAGCCGCTGTGCATCTGCAGGAGCTGCTGGCCGAGGAGACGCGTCAGAAACTGCAGATCTCCACAAAGTTGCGTCAAGCAGAAGACGACAAGAACAGCCTGCAGGAGCAGCTGGAGGAGGAGATGGAGGCCAAGAGGAACGTGGAGCGACACGTTTCCACCCTCAACATCCAGGTCAGGAGTTACATTTTCTTTTTCCACAGTTGGAGTTTATCACTATAGAAAACATAATTTTACTGTTTATTTTTTTATTTTTTTTTATTTTTTTTGCAGTTATCAGATGCTAAGAAGAAGCTGGAAGAGATGTCGGGTAACGTAGAGCTTCTGGAAGAGGGAAAAAAGCGACTGCAAAGAGACCTGGAGGCGGCCAACACTCAGTTCGAAGAGAAGGCCTCTGCGTACGATAAGCTGGAGAAGACCAAGAACCGCCTGCAGCAAGAACTGGAGGACACATTGATGGACCTGGACAACCAGAGACAGATAGTGTCCAACCTAGAGAAGAAGCAGAAGAAGTTTGACCAGGTGAATATTATTATTATTTTTTTTTAATTGGACAGAAATACGTTTAAATTTCAATGTTTTAGGAAATGTATCTGTTGTAAATCTGCATATAGTTCTTGATTTCATCATTTCTGACCTTCAGATGCTGGCTGAGGAGAAGAGCATCTCCAGTAAATACGCAGATGAGAGGGATCGCGCAGAAGCCGAGGCCAGAGAAAAGGAAACCAAGGCTCTGTCGCTGGCGAGGGCCCTGGAGGAGGCCCAGGATGCCAGAGAGGAGCTGGAGCGGGCCAACAAGGCCCTGAGGGTGGAGATGGAAGACCTGATCAGTTCCAAGGATGATGTGGGAAAAAATGTTAGTTCTTAAAAACATCTCGGTAGGTATTGGTCTTGGATTGATTTTCGGCCTCCCAGTTAATTTCCAAACGTGCTGACGGCAGGTCCACGAGCTGGAGAAGTCCAAACGAGGCCTGGAGGCGCAGGTGGAGGAAATGAAGACCCAGCTGGAGGAGCTGGAGGACGAGCTGCAGGCAGCCGAAGACGCCAAGCTGCGTCTGGAGGTCAACATGCAGGCGTTGAAGGCCCAGTTCGAACGAGACCTTCAGGGACGGGACGAGATGGGAGAAGAGAAGAAGAGGCAACTGGTCAAACAGGTACGAACCGGGACGGATTCCTTTCAGCCGGTTTTGAAAGAAACTTCATCAGTGATGGTAAACGATGACCCACACCGACTGCAGGTCCGCGAGTTAGAGACCGAGCTGGAAGATGAACGTAAACAGAGGGCCCAGGCCGCAGCAGCCAAGAAGAAGCTGGAGACGGACATGAAGGATCTGGAGGGACAGATCGAGACGGCCAATAAGGGACGAGACGAGGCCATCAAGCAGCTCCGCAAGCTTCAGGTGAGAGTGAGGAGATGAAGGCACATGGATGGATGCCCGTGTCTTGGGAGGTTTTGACACATTGGTGCATTTATGATGTGTATTTTTTTTTCACAAGTTATCTCTACAACAAAAGGTTTTTCAAGTAGTTGACAGTATGAATGTACTACAACTGATTGCTTGGTTACACTGCTGCAACTATCTGTAGTTACTACAACACAAGAAGTGTCTGGCTTCACGTAAACATTCCAAACGAACAAATCATGTTAACATATACCCCGTCACTCCCTGTTTTTATCTGTGTTTCTGCATGCAGGGTCAGATGAAGGACTACCAGAGGGAGCTGGACGATGCTCGTGCTGCGAGGGAGGAGGTTCTGTCCACAGCGAAGGAGAGCGAGAGGAAGGCCAAGAGTCTGGAGGCTGAACTCATGCAATTGCAGGAGGTGATAAGATGGATTCCTAACAAGGTAAAAATCTCTGTGGAATCAGAGGATGCTTAGTAACAGGAAGCCCCTCTAATCCGTTTCCAGGAACTGGCTGCAGCCGAAAGAGCCCGGAAGCAGGCAGAGGCCGAGCGAGACGAACTTTCTGATGAGCTGGCAAGCAACTCTTCTGGAAAGTGAGTGGACGATTTCTGCTTTTCCTTTGTCCGTGGGGTAAACGGAGCACACATTTGACATTTTCTCACTATGATCCACGAGTTTAGATCCGCACTGGCGGATGAGAAACGTCGACTTGAAGCCAAGATAACCCAGTTGGAGGAGGAGCTGGAGGAGGAGCAGGGCAACATGGAGATCCTCAACGACAGACTGAGGAAGAGCGCACAGCAGGTGACCTGAACCGGAGGAGCCACTCGGATCACGGCGAAGTGAAACGGCCAGCCCTGACCCTTGACTCTGGATGCGTGTCTTCATCAGGTGGAGCAGCTGAACAACGAGCTGCAGACGGAGCGCAGCACCTCCCAGAAGAACGAGAGCGCTCGGCAGCAGATGGAGCGCCAAAACAAGGAGCTGAAAGCCAAGCTGCAGGAGATGGAGAACCAGGTCAAGTCCAAGTTCAAGTCCTCAATCTCTGCTCTGGAGGCCAAGGTGGCACAGCTGGAGGAGCAGCTGGAGCAGGAGAACAGGTTAGGGACAAATAAAATCCTTGTATAAATTTCAAACATAATCTTTTGACTGCTGGTCTAATTTTATGGCTGATCAAACCTAAATAGCTCTTAAGTTACAGTAAGGATGGAAATCACACAAAGTAGCAATCTGATTGGTTTTAAAATGTCACTTTGTACGCCATTTTATTTGTTTTTACTTTTTTGGCATAAAAAGTAAAAAGTGTTTTTTTTATTTATTTTTATCACTTTAGAGATAAGCAGGCATCTGCCAAGAACATCCGCCAGAAGGACAAGAAGCTCAAAGACATGATGATTCAGCTTGAAGATGAGAGGAAACAATCGGAGCAATACAAGGATCAGGTAAAAACACCCAAACAATCTGTAGTTAATAAGGATTTATTTTTGTTTTTGTTTTGTTTGCAAAAACAAAAAGATGCTTGAAGCATCCATTGCGGTCATGATGAAAAGGACATTTCCATACATGAATAAATATCAGTAGGTATAAGATGATCAAAATGTACTCTTTGAATCACCAGCTTGCAGAAAGGTGAAATTTAACTGTATAAAGTTTACTGGAAGAAAAAAATGTGCCCAGCTGCCATGATTGCAAAGCAAACCCAAATCATAACTCCTTGACCACCCAGTTACTGGGTTTGTGTTGGTACATCGTTTTAGTTTTTTGCCAGAAAACATCACTTTGGCTGCAGGATTTCTTCTCTCCTGCAACTGTTGAGACGTTTTCACTATGACTTTGTGCACAGTCACACACTTGCAAGCAAAAACTTCAATATAAAAAGCAACGTGCTCTGTTAGGATATTACTTTTGTTAATCCACTAGGCGGAGAAGGCAAACACTCGCATGAAGCAGCTGAAGAGGCAGTTGGAGGAGTCTGAGGAAGAGTCTCAGCGCGCCACAGCGGCCCGCAGGAAGCTGCAGCGAGAGCTGGACGAAGCCACTGAGGCCAATGACGCCATGAGCCGCGAGGTCAACTCCCTCAAGAACAAACTCAGGTAGGACGGTTTTCTTTTGACCTCATTTATGGGTTTATCCTAAAACCTAAAGGCCAACTTTCTGCCACTGACAATGTATTCATAGTCCTCGAATTAGTTTCACAGTTTGTCATAGAACTGGCACTATTAGTACAACAAAATTCATGGTGTCAGAAAATACTGACTGCAAACCAGATCAGGCAAAGTCAGATTGGTCCGAGTAATCGAAGAGTATCGGACAATTGTCAATTATCGCTGAAGATTCTCTGTTGGAGTCGCGCATCATTTTCCTTTAACTTTACAGTCATGTGCTACTTTCTGACATGCGATCTCCTAAAAAGACATTTAAATTTGTGGTAGTAAGAAGAAAAAATATGAAAGTTCACAGGATCTGAAACTTGATGCACTTTCATTTAGACTTCCCGGTAGTGGAAAACACCCTAAAAAGGATGAATCTATAAAGCCATCTATAAAAATGTCACTATAAAAACATTTTTAGTGATTAGACGTTTGGAAGAAGCTGTGTACTTTCTTGAACAATGCTTTCAAAAGAGTCCTTGGATTTAATAGAGATTGAAAATAGTTTGGTGTGACTTTCCACTACAAAACTATTCCAGGACATTTAAATCCGTGAAAGATGTTTACATTTGCTGAGTCGAAGCAAAACAATCCTGTCCCTCTCTATTGCAGAGGCAACCCTGAGCCTAAGGAGTGACACCTCAGGTACCTCTGCATTAAAAGTTCCCCCATCACCATTACTCATTCATTTACAGTCTTTTCATCCTGTGTGCTCTCTCTAAATGCTCTTATTTCTTCCATTGAGCCTAACTGAGAGAAATATGGCTCATGATTCTTTTAATTGAAAGGAAAAAATCCTCCAAATTGAAATTCTCTATTGAGTTCTCCTTAGCCCTGTTTTCTGGTGGCCATCTTTCTCTCGGTGCTTGGTTTAATTGTCATAAACCAAACTCATTTTCCTGAGCAAGGAGTTAAATGAGTTACGATAACCAGCGTGCTTTAGCAGTAACTGAAGCACAACCTGTGCGTTCTGCGTTTCATCGACCCTCCCTGCAGTGCGCAACACCTGCCTGGGTTTCACACAACGCCTAACCAGCTGACGGCATCGCTGCTCTCAATGTGACCGTATGTTTGTGTGTCGTCTTGGTGCGTACACGTCTCCCTGTGGCGTTTTAGGCGTGGAAACGAGCCGTCCTTCAGCAGCGCGCCGCGGCGTATGGGCGGAGGCCGGAGAGTGATGGAGGACGCCTCGGAGGAGGACGGAGACTCGCAGAACGACTTCAACGGAACAAAGTCCTCAGAATAGGAGAGACAGACATAAACGTTCAGGGGCAATGGCCGTCACCTACAAGTTAATGTCAAAAGCCTGCTTCGCTATCCTTCATGACACTTCTAAATATATATTTTCATTTATCTTGTCATTTCCAGTAGTCAACAGCGTATTCTTTATGAAGCGCGCACACGTTCAGAAGGACTTGATGTTCACAAAGAGGAGTTGTTCGGGTGGCTCCGTTGATGTGATTTGCTGTTTCTAACAAACACTGTTTTTTTTTTTTTGTTTTGTTTGTTTTTGTTTTTTTGTACTGCACTGAATGTCTGATTCCTCCTCGTGTAATGTTTTGTACACAGAAATGCCTTTTTATCGACACCCACTTTAAAATCTAAAGCAGGCGTGTAACTCCTGTCGTCCTGTTGCCTGTGACTGCTGTTACTGTTCCAGCGGCACTGAAATGGGTTCAGATTGGACGGGCAGAGTTTAGTCTTTCTGCGTCCAGTCAGTGCTGACTTTTATATCCCGTCAAATATTTAACCCAGAGTTTTTAAAGCCACTTTTTGACATTATTTGCACCTTCCCTGTGCTCTGTTGTGCTCATGATTCTGCCCACTAGAGGACAGCTGAGGTTTATCTCCTATAAAATCAATCATGAACCACATGTTTATATGGCACTGGGCACATTTTTATTTTCCATTTGTTCAAATTTACATGTACATTTTCTGCAATTCTCCTCCAGTCACATTTAAACTAATTAAGTCTCATTCAATATAATCAGCTATTGTTTACATGACACTCTGTTGTATTCTGTAATTGTTGAACCACTTGCACAAAAATAAAGAGCTAAAAAAAAAACAACCCTCAGTTATTTTTAACTCTTTGTCCTTCAACTTAACATGCCAACTGTAAGCAGGCTGAATGAAAAATGAACGTGGGCAAGTCTAAACCGTCAGGGACAGTTTGAGGCATTTTCTAATTTTTATATAAAATTGATATATATATATATATATATATATACACTCCAAAAGAAATCTTATTTTAGTGTTTGTTTTGCTTCAAATGCAAATATCTTTGCACAAAATTGACTTGCAAGCTATAGGAGCTTGTTTCAAGTAAATTCCTTTTATAATATTGATGAAAAAATACTAGTTAGTGGAATACGACATCTTCCATCCTGTCAGTTCTTATGCAAAATGTACAAATATGAAATAAGGTCATTTGGTCATTGAGCTTATTGATCACAATATTAACAGGGCTTATGTAAGCCATTTGTTTATAATCATTTTAACTTATCACTCTTAGCTATATATATTTACAAACTTTATTATCGAAGAAATCTAAAAAGACTAAAATTAAGGAAAACATAACCTGGCATCCATAAGTGTGAAATACTCAAATCCCTTTTTTCCAGGTAAGCCTTTTATACACTTTTCGATAATGAAGAAGCTTATTGTGTATTTAAGAATGTTTATTTTGTTACTTAAACAAAGAGCAGAACTGTCGGACCAAAAACTAAACATTTTGAGAATTTCAATTGCAGTAACTACATTCAGGCATCGTCTGTAGTTTTGTCACAGCTTGAATCCCAATCAGAGCTGCCCTTTTTTTTTATTTATTTAAAAAAGAAAAAATAGTACACAAAAAGCAATGTATGAACAAACGTGAGATGAGATCGAAAACTAAGATTTTTCAGTTTACAGGCAAAAGTTTCCTTGTACACTGTCCCGTTAAAAATACAATGTCAAATATTGGCTCTGCATAACAATCTCCTGAACTGGGTTAATCTTAAAACACTGTACTTTTATTTCTGTCCCTAAACATGACGCCCAATGCTCAAAAGACCTGTACATTCAGAAGTGCATGGGCACCCAGTTAAACGCTATCATTGCCTGCAAATCTGTAACAGAATAGATTTTGCAGAAATACATAAATCTCCAAAGTGATAAATTGCATCTGTCAGAAGCTCAATCTTTTCTCACATCAAAAGACAACATAATGAAAGTTGTCAGAACAGACAGGAAGAAGTTAACATTACTGACAGGAAGTAATTCACTTGCGTTTTTTTTTTTTTTCTTTGACTGTTTGGAAAAAATAGCAATGAGTCAAATTGGTCTTTTCTGGAAGTATGAGAAAAACACACCTGACTTTTTTCAACTTCCTGACCAGCAATGTGCAGCAATAGTTGGGGGAGGGGCACTGTTACAGATGGAAAAAAACACAGACAAAAAAAACTCACTTGTGATGAAAGGGATTTTAAACCTCAGGAACAATGAAAGAAGATTGAAGCGTTCTTATAAATGTTTTTAAAATCTCTGACACCTTAATAGAAACTGAGCGCCACCACCTTTTGAATCTAGACTGTAGTTTGATGTAGTTTACCAGATCTAGTAATGTTGGAAGTAATATTCCACTACTGCCGTCGATGCTCTTTCGCCACTCACTGAAGCCACTTTAACAAATTCCACCAAATGATGCTAGTTTTCAGACTAGATTCCTACATTTATATCTATTGAATTTATCACGCCTGCTTGACTCTAAACCAATTTGCCTTTATATATTTGCAAATAAATCTGGGCAGTAAAGGGTTAAAAGATTGTGTGTGTGTGTGTGTGTGTGTGGGGGGGGGGGGGTTAAACGTACAAATTGCTTCTGCACACTGCCAACCAGCTGGCTGAAAGGAGCCTCTTGTTGGGAAAGATTTCCAGCCAAAAAATACACAACTGTAGTAAATAAATCTTTATATCGCACCTTGGAAGTCTTGAGTCAATATCATGAATCTGGTATTGTTGCCTGTGAGAACGCCATTCATCCTCTCAATTATTGCCTTTATTACAATAATTATCACTGAAAACAGCAACAGACAAAATTTAAAAGAAATGCATGAAAATAAAATTATTTTGTAACAGCTCAATTGCGCCTACCTTCATCTTTTGATATTTTTTGGTCACTAACTTCATGATAAATTAATGGTAGATGCCATCATCTCTTGACAGGAAATGTTATAATCTACTGGAAGAAGGTTAATCTGCAGATCTTTGATTTATGATCTCAAATCAATAGAGAATGCAAACTAAAGTCTTCAGAAAAAATAAGTAAAAATTGAGCGTTTAAGTGACTATTTGTATTTAATTGAATTTTAAAAAGTGATATGCTAATGGTTTTATGGGTATGAAATGGAAGCAGGTTGGGATTAACCAGATTAAATATGAAGGACAGATATTTTAACTTATTTCAAAAAATAAAAACCCAACCCAATGGATTTATATCCGTTTATGTTTAATCACAGCTTCAGTTTGGTTAAACCCAAGTTAAAACTTGGGTTTTAACTTGCAGCTAAAACCCAAGTTCAGGTTCTTGGTCCATGTACCAGGCTCATCGCCCAGACGGCTGTGATTGCCGTCGCTCTTCCCCCCGCGTAGGTCGCGATCGATATAGGCAGGCGCAGCGGCTTCACCAAGTCAGAGTCAGGTGTGCTTTGATCCATCACAGGAAGCGTCGACGCAGACGGCAGCGTAGGTAGAGTGGAAGAGATGAGCGGTGGGCTCGTTAAGAACGTGGAGCAGCTTTCTGTGGTTATATGTTGAGCCTAAGGCAGCAGGAGTCCATGCACTGATGGGCGGAGTCGCTCTGCGTTCTCCTGATCTCAGAACGGAGCTCTCTCTGTTCAACTAGGGCACACAAGCTGAGCTCAGAGTACCGGGTTCTGCAGAACCATGTTACAGCAGGATCTTGACCCCTCCCTGTGGAGACTGGGGACTGTGGGACACCACTCTGGGAGGAGCCGGTCCGAACTCTAACCGCTTCACCAGACTGAAAGACAAGCCAAACTGGATCATGAGAACTCGTCACACGAGCAGAACAGAGCTTGGTTCACATGGAGTTCCTCCTGTCCATCGTCTTTCTAACCTGTCGTACTGAGGAGGAGGGCTGAAGCTGCTGGCCTGGACCGCAGGACCCGCGTCTAAACCTGAAGGGCTGCAGGGGCCGGCGGAGAGCGCCGGTCTGTTGGAGGATGTCTCGTAGACAAAGTCTCGACAGGACGCAAGCTTCGACTCCAAATTCTGACAGCGATTATACAAAGTCGGATTAAAAATGAAAACCCAGGAACAAGAAGAATCAATATATATATATATATATATATATATATATAGAGAGAGAGAGAGAGAGAGAGAGAGATAAAAGGTCCAATCTTACCCCAACTTTTCTCAGCAGCTCCCCGACAATGTTCAGTGCAGATATTCTAGCAGATGTAGTTAGAGGGGTTCCTGTTAGACCGTCTCCTGGAAAATAAAAGCAGCTTTTGAGCTTAGAGCGAGGACGTGAATCATTTGATCCCAGCTCGTAGTTGTGAATGTCTTGTTACCCCTGCGGATGCTGGAGGCAGGTGGCGTCATGTACAAGCCCACGGGTTTGGAGGGCGTGATGGGGATGGACGGATTGGGCGGAGAGGAGCACAGCATCTCTGAGTCTTTGCCCAGGCTGCTGGACGGCCGTCTCTCCTTCTGACGGACAGCCAGCTCCTGGCGGAGGTCTGACACAAACAAAGCCAGTCTGTGTGTGTGTGTGCATGTCTATATCTGTGCAAGTCAATCATTTTGAATATTTCAGATGTTCAACCGTACAGCACATTACCCTAAAAAAAAAAAAAAAAAACTCGAAGAGAGTCCACGCAACCGTTTCTCGACAGCCGAGAGCCCAGACCCTCTGTAGGAAGCAAATAGCGTAGGACGAGGGGTCCGTTTTTACCAGGCTGAGTCTGCATACCTCTGGCTTCATCCTTCAGTCTCTGTACAGACTCCAGCAGGTTCTCCTTCTCGTCCAGCTCGCTTTCCAGAAAAGCGTTCCTCTCGATGACCTGGTTCATGCGCTGCTCGAAGTCCTCCAGAGACATGATGGTAGCCCTGCAACAGAGGTCGCAATTTAAAAGAAGTCTGCTTCACCGCTGACGATTAGCACATTTTGCACAATGCTTTACTTGCTTTAAATGGTAGAAAGCAAGAAAATGTTTCTCTGCAGCACCTATTTTAAGCAACGCCTCCTGACCTGCGCTAACAATTCATCTGTGATACATGAGCCCAAACACTGTTCCTTTTCCTCTCTATATATACCAGAAAACTGATATTTAATCTTTAAACAAGCAATCAAACTTGAATAAAGCATAAAAAAAAGCAAGAAAACAGAATAACTACATACCTTTACACAAGAATAGACTTTTTAAGATGTTTGAATTGAAGGTTCAACTAAATTAGTACAGTAATTAGAACACTGACCTTTTAGTCCTCTCTAGGTCATCATTGGACTGTTCCAGCTCCCGGATGTACTTCTGCAGATGGTCTCTGACCGCCTTGGTCTCGGCCAGATCGTCCTCCAGTGTTGAGATGTGCCTGAAGGCCTCTGAATGCTGGGCCTCGAATTTCTCCTGCAGACGGCACACAGAAAAAAATAAGGTCGTAGGTCAATCAATAGGGGCAGCATCGTGCATCAATGGAGAGCGTTGTCCAAGCGAATCCTAAAAATTTACCTTTAAACTTTCTCCTTCAGTTCCTCTGATACAATGAACTGCAAACGCATTCATAACCTTGAACTTTTCCAAATATTTTTGGCATTAGTCAATCAGTATATTTTATTTAGCTTTCAAGTGATTTTTCTGTTTGTTTTTTTACAGTTACTCTAAAACATGTATTCAGTCCACCTGAATATTCATTTTTCTTCCACTTTGCATTATGGCCCCACTTTGTGTGGACCGGAAGTTGTGAGGACAAATTTTCTGTCCTTTCTTCTGTAGTGTCGTCACTAACAACAGTCTGGCCTGTCTACGCACCTTGATGCTCTCTAGTTCCACGCGGAGTCTGTTGTTATCCAGCAGCAGTTCTTTGTTCCGACCTTCGCACTGCTTTAACTGCGTTTCCAGCTCCGCCTCATAGTCTCGACTCATCTGCTGGAATTCCTGCAGCTCTTCCTGAGCCTCGTCCGCCCTGGTGACGAAAACATGTTCAACTTCAGCCGAAACACCGCAGGGGGGGGGAAACACCGAACACTGCTGGGCGGCTGGTTACCTTTGCTGGTGCTTTTGTGCTTGTTCTTTCCAGTATTCCAGCTCCTCTTTCAGGGATGGAAATGAGTGTGCTGTTGGCTCTACCATGACTGCTGGGTTAATAATGAAATTTCAGCCTTTAAGGTCGCCCGTTAGCACATGCTAACACGGCTAGACACCGGAAGCAATGTGAACGTTGTCAAAGGTAGTCAAAGAGCAGCATGAGAGTTGTGTCTTCTGTGCTTAGTTACGACTTTATCGAGGAATAATTACAAAGTGGAGTTGAAGAATGCACAGTGTTAGCATCTAGCTACCTGGAGCTAATCGTGATAGCTAAATGAACAGAACATATTGTGCTATCACATCGCTATGCTAAGCCCAAACAGTCCAGACTCACCTGTTTACGACTGGAAAAGTCAACACATGCTACAAATAGGAGACTATTTATCGTTGTGAGAATCAGACTGTAAAGGATTCGAGACTCGCGTTAACTAATCTCGGTTTACGTTAACGAAGCACCGAGCTCTCCAATCAAATGTCAACAAACGTTCAACATCGAGAGGCTATTGGACGCCGCGGATGACGTAAAGTTGACCTTAACCAATCATATTAGTTTACGACAACGTCTCCTCGAATCGTCAAGAGTGATGCCTGCGTTCAGACTGGCTGTTGAATTCAAATAAGTCCTGCGAGATGATCGTGATTTTTCTTTTCTTCATTTGCGGTATGATTTCTACTTTTGGAGCGAAAACTGTCTCATAATTCACAAATGCACAGACCAAGATTCACAAATGCAAAAAGATCCGCAAATGCACAAGACGAGATTCACAGCATTTGTGAAGAAAGATAGATTAAAAGGTTTGTCAAAAAAATAAATAAAAAATCTGTCTTAAAACTTCATGCCTTCATTGTAAATAATATGACTTTATTTTTTTAAATTATTTTTATTTGTATTTTCACATACTAAATGTTTCTATATATTTATATATATTACATTCAGTCCAAACAACGCCTGACACATTAAATTCTATTAGTTCTTATAATGATAAGTAATGCTAGTAAAAAAGTTGACTAGGATCTAATTTACAACAGCATTCTCACATAAGAGCTGCTCCAGTCCAAGAAGGTTCTAATCTGTCATTCTATCATCTTGAAGAAAATTTAATCATCTTGACTGTAGTCTTGAGTTATCAATCTCACCTTAGTGTTTGTTTCCATTCTCTTACACTATCAGCACTTCTCTAAATACAGTAATTGCTCTTCCTAAAGCACGTTTAAGCTAAGCCGTCCATGCAGGTCTGCACACTTTATAGGATGGCTCGAATACAAGGGTTATACAAGCCATTCAAACATAAATAAAACATGCAAAAAGTGCAGCTAAAATGAACAGTTACTCCTGTCAAAAGTACACATGTGTCCCAGAAATTGTGTCGAAAGCAATCTTGGATTAAAGACAACACTTTTGTAATGACAGGGCATTCACTGACAAACCACAGACCCTGAACCAAACCCAACTTAGCCTTCCTTGGAACAGCTAAATCTTATTTTAGTCAAACTATCCAGAGTCATTACTGTCCTTGTTGTGTGGCTCTAAATCTACGCATCCAGCATTTTAGGTGACAATGAGTGCACAGGTTCTCCTCTCAGCTTTCCTGTTCTTCACCTCTTCCTCTCCTCTTCTTCTGCAGAAACAAGTCTGTATGAACTGTTTGGGTCACAAAAGCTAATCCAAACCTTTACCCAGTATTCCAAATTAAATCTCAAAGCATCTAAAATAGGAGCAATATTCCACCGTAATCAGTCTAATTAATTTTTGGGCTTATCTATCTCAGAGATGTTCTTATTGGAGCCCATCGTCTGACTGTCCAACACGTCAGTTTTCACCTGACTCAGAGTTTGCAGCAGGCACATTGTGTCGAACCCCTCATCAGCAGACTCCTGCAACAACTCCAGCACCTGTTCATGGGAGACATAAATGACTTGTGGAAGAGAAACGAATCCAACCAGCTAATCCAATTATCATGTGACGTGGACTCACCTGTAAACACTTGAAGGACTTGAGTTCACTCAGGTTCTCCTTCAGGAAGAGCAGGTACATGCTGAGGTCGTTGTAGACGGGCTTAACTTTGCCCAGAGCACCGAACCCAGGCAGTATCTCGTAGGCCCGCAGGAAGCCGGAGCTCTGCCGCGCCGGCCCCAGAGCCGCCAGCACCACCAGAGGAGCGAGAAGCAAGTACACGCCCAGGTTGATGTAGCTGAGCAGCCTGAAGACGCCCACCGCCACCATCTTGCACTGAACGGCGGCCGGCACGCCGCTGTCGTTCTTCAGCACTCCTGTACGCACGTCGCAGGGAAACTCGTCGGTGAGCGACGCCAGAAAGATGTAGTAGCAGAGGTAGGCGCAGGAGAGCAAGAGGACGAGCAGAGTCAGGCATCGGCAGACCATGTACTTGACCACGAGGCTACAGGAGGACCGCTTGGTCTTTAGATAGTGCTCCACTAGAGGGTATTTGAAGCAGCCCTCAGCCAGATCCAAAGCACTGCAGCAGGACAAAGGCACGTCTACATGAAGCACACAACTTTACATGAAGTACCATGCACAAACAAAACAACAGCAAAAAATAGTAACACTGACAACTGTTATTTATATACAAAGCCACGCAACATTTTTTTTTTTTTTGATTTTTTAAAAACTATTTTCTCCTATTAAAAAAAACAAAGATGTATTGATTTTGTTTGTCAGAGGGAAAAAAAACACTGGGGCGCGTGTGTCAAACTCATGGCCCGGGGACCAGACCCGGCACACCGCAGCTTCTCATGTGGGCCTCTGGTAACAGAGAGTCACATAAATAGAACCTTTGAAATAAAAGTTCTGCGCTGTGAGCTTAAAATTACTTTATAAACCAAAGCAGTTTTTATCTGTATATTTCAAAATTCTCACAAAGATTTGAGAATCTGTGACAAGACTTGAAGACTGAGTCTCATATTTGCTTCCCATCCCTCCTGACTGAACTCGAGCCATTTTCACCAGAAGATCAGAGAAAGGTGTTCGGTCTGTAAATGTGCAAATATCCCCAAAAGACTTCCAGCTGCAACTGCAGTGAAAAATGGTTGTACAAAATATTGATTCAGAGGAGCTGAAAGGCTGAAAAACAGCCTATTGTTTTTCTTTCTCTTCACAATCTTGCACTACGTTGCGTTGCTGTGTCACATGAAATCTCATTATAATACAACGAAGTTAGTGTGTGTCAATGGCTACCCCCCCCCCCCCCATTTACCTCTGGTTCTCCTGTGCTCCGTCCCTGTCGTCGACAGACGCCAGACTTTTGGCCAGTTTAATGCCGCGGTTATAAAATCGATCCAGCTCATCCATGATGAAGCTGAGGTCAGACGAGAGGTATGGCGCTGCAGTGAAACGCCAGAGCACGGCGGGGACCGACATGAGGATGGCGATGAGGAGAAGGATGTAGGGAAAGAACTGAGGGTGTCGGAGAAAAGCGAGCAGGAGGACAGGTTTGAATAAAACAGCAAGGGATGCATTTTTTAAATTAGATTTCTGTAAATTTGACCTTGACCGCTCTCATAAAATGAAGAACATCTAAACAACTCATTAGTTCGAGGTCTTCGAAGGTGTTTTGAGGACGTAACAGCTCAGAATACCTTCTGTAATTACTATGTCCCGCATTGTGTCCAGTGAACACAAGGTGTCGGTTCATTGGGCCGAATCTCACATCAACACTATACCTTGTGCAGCCAAAGTGTGGAGTTGTCAGCCTGGTTCTGAACTGCAGCCCAACAAAAGGAGTCCACATATACAGCTTGTCTCATGGAGAAGTTGAAGGGAGCAAAACAGATGATCTGACTCCCTGGGAGAGGAAGAGAGAAACAGTGGATCGAAGCAGGCTGCCATTCAAAAAGATCATCATAATAATAATAGTATTAATAATACTAATGATCGTCATTAGTAAGCCTCTCCTATTTTGCACTCCTGGCCCAGTTTTTGTGAGCTGTTTGCAGCATTATTATTCCTCATAATTAGTCTGGGCCCTTTCAACAAAGCATGACCCAGATATTCACGCATTTGGACTTTGGAACTAAAATATTTGAAGGAACCCTCTGAGTGTACATGATCCCAGTGGCAGAAAATTGTTGACTAAACGAACAAACTAATTCACTAAACGAACAAACTAATTCATTTTCACTTTATTTGCCAGGCAGTACCTCTTCCTGCATGTAACGAGTCAGCATCAATAGTACTGTAGTGAAAGTAGCTAATAGAGCAGGTGCAGCCTACATTATCCTATACGTTTTACATAAAATGATTAGTTCTTTTCTTCCAGCATCAGTGAAGTTCACTGGCTCTCTGTCCTCTCAAATTTCATTTCTCTGGCTCTCAGGGCAAATCCACTCATCTCTCAACAACATCCTTGTTCAAATGGGCAATCTTCTCTGATTGCTGATCTGCTGACCACATCCCATTTCAACCCTTAATGGACATGTTCAAGATCCGGTAATCGATAAATCCGGATTGGTCCATCTCGTTTGTGTTCCATCAGAAAAAAAATAAACTGTAGTATTTAAGTATTCCCATGTTTATTTTACGCATTATCCAAGTTATTATTATTATTGTTATTCTTGTTTTATTTGTAACAAGTTGATTTGGCATTAGATCTTCTGTCGGTAGAAGAATGTAGATATTTCATCTCATTGTTTTTCTGAATGACTGTGAAATAAGGGTGGAGACCTAAAACCACACCTTCTCACACTTTTCTGTTCCAGCTGATAACACGAGCCCGTTATGCTTCTGCCTCCAATTCGTGGACCCCTGGATTTGTTTTTAGCTGTCATCCCTGTCTGCAGGAAATGCATTATCGCCGCTCACGCTGTGAAATGTTCAAAGATGCTCCATCTCACCTACAGAGATCTCCTGAGCAAAGGCGAGCGAGATGAGAAACAAAGGCAGCCCCACCGCCAGAAGCGTCACTATTTTATCCACGGCCAGCTCCAGACGGACCCCTTTGTACTTCGTCTCCCTGGCATCCTTTAACAAAAAGTCCGAAAACACGTACTCTGTGGCCACAGAGGCGATCGCCATGAGGGCCGCACACACACACACACACAAACACACACAAAAAAAGCTGTGAGTGTGAGACTGACGGAGAGGCGGCTCTTTGTATGACTTAAAATGACAAAACCTCGCAGCGTTCCGTCTGTCTGATGAAGAAGAAAAACGTCCAGGAAAGAGAAACCGAATGAATATTTAAAGCACAAACTAACTCTGTTGTTCACCAAGCTCCTTGCACGCTGACTGATTCAATAACCTGCTGCTATGCTGTCCAGTCAGTGAACGCCAGGAGTTGATGCTGGAGCAAGGAGGCCTGCTAGAGGGCGCCACCGATCAGTTAGATGACTCTATTACCATTGAGAGCGCGTTGGGGCACCGCCCACATTACAACTGCGTTAAGTAAATTGTGCTTTATACGTGAAAATGTAAACGTTATTTAATAAATGTCAGAATGGAGAACTACGTTGAAGAACTATATAGTTGTTTCTGTGTGAATTTAATTATTTCATATTTCAATCTAACAAGAAACAATTTAAGCGGCATCTGTGGCAAATTAAAAGGACACAACATAAAAAAAAGCACTGAACTAATTATATTGAACACAGAATTTAAATGACGTAATTTATTTATTATTATTATTATTATTATTATTATTATTATTATTATTATTATTATTATTACTATTATTATTATTATTGTTGTTGTTGTTGTTGTGTACATCGCTTTAATTGATATTTTTATATTTTATCAATATAAATGTCTAGAAAATATATGAAGGGCGTAGTCTACTTTTACGTAATATCTGCTCTAGCTCAATAATATCTGTTCAATCTCTTTTTGTGTGTACTGCCGCCAATTGCACGGTACGGTCGCAAGTCCTCATCAAAAGCAACATTATTTACGACTGTTGAATCCGATTTTTGGCAGCCCTCGGTTACAAAAAGGTGCAAGTTTCCCGGGGAGTCAAACACGGGTGAACGGTTGTTTCAGGAGGATGTGAGAGGCTAAACTTTCGCAGGTAAATAGTTGAGACATGAACGGCAGACAAATCTTTGACATTTCAAAAATGTTAACTTCGTTTTAAATGTAGCTGAGTGACAACTCTATTTATGAATGTTTAGGTTAGTGTGAGACTGTCGCACTGCCGTTAGCAAAAACAGCTACATGCGGCTAAGTTTAAGGACTTATTATAGTTTCTTCGACGTTAACCATCTTTATTGCTTTGTCTAGACGCATAGAAACGACGACAAAAACCGTCGACCTAGCCGACCACAAAGTTTGCTAGCTTGGAGCTAACCTGATGTCAGGTCAGGTTGTTTTGGTGGCTCCCTTCTGTTAAAAAACAAGGTGCATTTGATTAAACCAGCATTGTCGACAGCAATATCCCGGCCTCCTCTCCCCAAAGGTCTTTAAGCTGACGATAAGAAATCTTGTTGCACTTTAACCACATATGCTGTCATCGTAAACGAGTCACTTTGAACTGCAGTGTCCTGACTTTGTAGCAGAATTGCTCTTGGGAACTTCAGTTTCATTTACTCTGAATAGGGAAGCATGAGAGAGAAGAGGGACGGAAGCATGGTGAAAGGCCCTCGGTGTTTGTCTGATGGATGGCGTAAGGAAGGAGAGCTCCACGAGCGGCTCTAGAACCGTCCCATGGCCATTTCCCCCCGATGTCTCCAGCCACCTATGGAAACATAAGAACGGCTTCTCCTCAAATGAGACGACTTCCCTTCATCAAAAAAGGAAAGATGTAAGCATATTCACCTTTACACAAAAACGTATTATAGTGAGACAAATAAAACCCTCCCGTAAGTAAATACTTAAAGCAAAAGACATACAACGTCTTTTATTTACTTTCACTGCTCAATAAGAAGAAACACATTGACAATAAAAATTAGACAGCAGTTTGTTGTTTCATAACTTTGGCTGAATCATGATAAGCTGCCTCATTAGCAAACCTGCTCCACTGCTTTCATACACTTAAGCTTTTTTGTCAAAGGTAACAAACATCTCATTCATTTTTCACTCTTAACCTTGAAACGGGAGGGAGAGGCTGAGCAAGTGGACCCGTCTCTGTGTGTGGGAGCCGAAAACGGATAGGAAAATAAAAGCTATGGTTTTATTTCTCACCGTCTTCAATGTAGAGCCTTTAAAACCACAAAATAAAATCAGAATATTTTTCTTTGTAAACCCATGGTGCTTTAAATGTTACATTTAAGTTACGATACTCCCCAGATATTCATTTCTATCTACTTGTTGGTTCTCAGTCACTCAGGACATCCCAAATCTAAAAAAGGCTTAAAAATAAAGCAATGCAAGTTATAATTTAAATAGCCCATAACTTGTATTGGGCTATTTAACCCTAACCCTAGCCATTAAAACAAATCAATGTTAATGAGGAATTTTATTAAGAGCAGTTACTCCATTAAAACTTTTTTATTTAGAACCTTAAATTTTTGTAAAGGTGTAGCAGAGACTAGATCAGCCAGTCTGAACAAAACTCGTATCAAGGCAACATTTCAGTTTTAATTTTACTTCTCAACAGGTTGCTTACTTAGAAAAACATGTTTGATGTGCATTACTAGTGCACTACTGGTCCTACACTACCTAAACTAGGTCTCGTTCAGAATCAAAGTAGTGTCTCTATTTGTTTTCAGCAGGTACATTATTAACAAAATGTGTCTGTTATTAGCATTATTATTATTGTTCTCAGATCTGTTCAGGCGACACATAATCCAAATGCATGAAAATGATGCAAGTAAAAGTTCCTATTTTATTAATTTAGACAGTTCTCTTTTTCTTTTTTATTGAATTAAAAATAAAAAAAAATGTCCTTGAAATCTCTGCATTTTGGTTTTAATATTTCAGAACATTTACATGGACAACCGAAAGGCTGTGCTGGACCTGAAGGATGTCCCCCCGCCACCGCCTCCTCCTCTTCCTCATTGTCCTTCCACATCCCAACTATCCCAGCCCTTTCCTTTGCCACCTCTCCCTTTGCCTCCTGCCTGCTTGCCACCCTCTCTGCAGCTAACACCAGACTCTCCCCAGCGACATTCGCCATCAAAACCGCAACAAGAAGGGGCGAGCCCCAAAGTAAGCATTTGCACCCGCTGTGACTACTGCAGCACAGAAGGCTATGGCTTGTTGGGCGGCACAGGTTTTGTTGGTGGCAGTAATCCTCAGGCAGCACCAACCAGCTGTAGATTGGAGCACAGCTCTGTAGCCCGGTCTACTTATCGCTGTAACAACCTGAGCCATGGAGGGGGAAGTGAGGCGTCTGATCCTTTGCTCACTCTGGATTGCAAACCTCAGTTGCCCTCTTCCATGGCTACCTCTCAGCCTCATTCCTTTCACCCTTACTTCCCCTGCTGCTCAGGACTTCTTCCGCCATGCTCAGCTTTGCCTCTCCCACACAGTCAGCCCAGCTCGTTTCCCTCTGCTTCACCTCTGTCCTCCTCTCCACCTGCTCCTGTGCAAGGCTCCTGCCTGGTTTCCTCTGGCTTTTACACGTGTGGCGTGGACTGCAGCACATCGACCAGAACCAGCTCCCTAAGAACAACACTCGGTGATCTCTCAGGCAGCACGACTGTTACCACTTCAACCACCTCAGCACACTTCTGCTCTAATCCTATGCTCCAGAATGTAAAACACGCTGTATGTCGCAATGGGGGACATTTCTGTCAGGAGTGCTTATTGAAGGTTGGTTCAGTTCACGATTTTATCGTTTTGGTTTTCTTGGAATTTGATACCATGAAGTAGGGCTGGGTGACATGGCTTAAAAATAAAATCTCATCTGATTTTAATTAAAAAAAAAAAATTAATCCTTTTTTTTTTATATAAAAACAGAAATGACAATGAATCTTTTCAAAAAGTGGCTTCAGTAATACTTTTAGTGATTTGTGCAATGGGGTCTTGGTGCAGGCTACAAAATTCTTCCTTATTGTTTATTGTGAGAATTAATGGTATAAAAACCTCGATAGACTTGCCACGAATATGAGAAAATCTGAACTCTGATGAATGAAATGATTTGAGACCTCTGATGTTGTTTTTTTTTGTTTTGTTTAGTTTTTTTGTTCATCCATAGTTTAGTTTTCTGATTATTCGTTTTTCCTTGATTTGCAGCCAAAGACTGCTCTGACTTCAGAGCCCAAAGTGTGGCCTGACGTTCCTGCATCCCTTACTGCTTCCATCCCTGTTCCCATTTGTAACGGCTGTGGCACGTCTTCTGATGGCCTAATGCTAATGCCGCCCCTAAACCATGGCATGGTTGGCTATAAATACGGTATACAAACGTGACAATGTAATATGCAATTATGAGTTCTGATTCTTTCTTTTTTTTTATTGGAGACTAGCTTTCAGAATATGTAGTTGACATGTTGAATTTCTAAGCTTCGCTGTTGAAATGTTCAAATTGCAGCTTTTATTTTTTTCTTTTAGGTTCAGAGAATAGTGGTCCTGAGAACATCCCTCCCGTTGGCGTCTTCTGGGACATTGAAAACTGCAACGTGCCCAGTGGCCGCTCTGCTGAAGCCATGGTGCAACGGATTCGCAGCAGGTTCTTCCAGGGACATCGCGAAGCCGAGTTCATCTGTGTCTGCGATATCAGCAAGGAGAGTAAAGCGGTCATCCAAGAGCTCAACAACTGCCAGGTATCTGCGAGGATTACAGTTGTTCGCATACTCTGGTTTCCTCAAGACTTGTAAAGTTATAATCAACTTTACAAGTCAATTATAACCACAAACCTAAAGCAACGTTATTGGGATTTACCTCATGGACACAAAGTGCCAATAACAAGTTTTCCTCCTGCACTGACCTGGATTTTTACCTCCATTCGTCTTCCATCCAGTCTAACTAGCTACCCTGTTTCTTATGAACGATAACCAGTGTTATTATTTATTTAAAAGCTAGATTAGTGGCATTCAGGACTAATAGTTGTCAACTTGATTTCTCTGATGCGTTTGTTGTTTAACGACCCTTTTATATTTTGTTTTGCTTTTCATCAGGTCACTGTCGCTCACATCAACGCCACAGCAAAGAACGCTGCCGACGACAAACTTCGCCAGAGCCTGAGGCGATTTGCTGATACCCATGCTGCACCTGGAACTGTCATTCTGGTGTCCTGTGAGTCGCCTTGTTTACCCACGATCACCTGAATCCACTGAAAAAGGTCATCTTTCAGGGAGATCTTTTGATTAAAAACAATCGTTTCCTCTCTTTGCTGCCAGCGGATGTGAATTTCGCCAGCGAGCTGAGTGACCTGCGTCACCGCCACGGCTTCCAGGTGATTCTGATCCACGGC